GACTTGAAACTGCTGAAGACAGAATTTCTCTGCAAATGCACACAGGCACCCCATTTTGATGCACAGATAGGCCTTTATTTCTTTTCAGAATAGCAGCTTTATTGAAAAAATTTCACACATGATACAATTCACCAATTTAAAGTGTATGATTCAATGGTTTTAGTATAATCAGATTGTACTACCATCACCATAATCAATTTTAGAACATTTTCGTCACTGCTTAAGAAACCATTCTAGCGTCTCCCCAACTATTAATGCACTTTCTATCTCTATATATGTGCCTATTTTGGATATTTTATATAAATGAAATCACACAACATGTGGTCTTTTGTGAATGGCTTTTTTTCACTTAGCATAATGTTTTCAAAATTGATTTGTTTGTCCTTTCTCCTGTTTGTTGCCAAATAATTTTCCATTGTATGGATAGATCCCATTTTGTTTATCCACTTGTCTCATTGTGTTTGTCAATCAGTTGCTAGACATTTGTAGTGTATTTAAGTTTTGGCCAATGTGTAAAACTTATTTTGCTCTGACTGAGGTCACATACTATTACAACAATGCTATTTGGTCAACTTGAGTGAGCTGGTCATAGGTTACAGGTTGCTCATTATTAGAGATGAGACTTTAGACCAGACTGGACAACATAGTAAGAACCTGTCTCTATCAAAAAGAAAAAGAAAAATTAGCCAGATATAGTGCCATGTGACTGCAGTACCAGCTACTTGGGAGGCTGAGGCGGGAGGATCACTTGAGCCCAGGGGTTTAGGACTGCAGTGAGCTGTGATCGTGCCAATGCACTCCATCCTGGGTGACAGAGTGAGACCCTGTTTGAAAAAACAGAAAGAGACATTTTAGTATAACATTCAGCCAGTGCCATATAAGGGGATCTACAAGAATATACTTTAAAAAATATGTCAAAGAAGGTGGTGAGGGCTGTAATGGCTACTATTCGGGCAGTAATACAGTGCTGAAGGGACACCAAGAAAATAGTGAGATGCCTGTGGGTTCAATGTTACTCCTTCATTTAGGTTGCCAAAAAATAAAAATAAAAAAACCAATACTTCATAGCATTCCTGAAACTAAAAAGCTTGTGAACCATGAATTCTATCTATTTTGGGCTGTTCATCACAGCTTCTCTTCTTTGGTAGAATAAAGTGAACTGAACCACTGGGCCTAAGGTGTTGGCCACATTTCTGCCTCAGCTGGTTCATGATTACATTGTCAAAGCTAGCAAAGCATTCAAGCCTGATTTCTCAGACTGAGTGTATGTGTGATTATAATATCATTATACTCATTTGTACAAAAATGAACCCTCTACCTTAACTGTATTCTACAAAAGGTGTGATAAATACTGCAAAGAAAAGTTTTAAGTTATATATCTATATCAGTAGAAATAATGGAATACACACCGTATATTTTATGGGGAATTTCAGAGAAGGAAGGAAAAGTCAACCTTTAATTGGCATCAGGATAGTAGTGAAACATTCTACTTTTGCACCAGATAGATTTTTATGACCTAACCTGGACAAGTAATTTAACTCTTGGTGCCCCATGTTTGAAAGAGGGATAACATTTCACAGGGTCGTTCTAAGAATTTTCAGTATTGCTAAAACACATGAAAAGATTCTCAACTTTGTTGGTAATCGAGGAAATGCAAATGAAGACCACAATGAAGGCTTCTTTTATACTCAATGGATTGGCAAAAAATTAATGTCTGATAATATTGACATATAGACCAACGAGGTCTCTCATACTTTTCTGGGAAAAGTGTATCAATTTGCACAAATATTTTGAAAAAATAATTGTACATTTTCTTGTAAGTATAATATTTGCATAACTGAAGACCCAGCAGTTGAACTCCTACACAGACACCCAAGAGAAAGTTGTCCACACATACATCATGAAAAATGTTCATAGCAGCCCTGTTCATAAGAGCAAAACCCGGAACAACTGAGAGGAAATGAATAAAGTGCCATGTAGCCACACAATAGAATACAAGACAGCAGTGATGCTGAAAAACATTATATATTATATGGATAATTTTATGAAGTTCAAAAACAAGCAAAATTAAACAACATATTACCTAAGTACATATGTGATATATGTGACAAAAGTAAAAAGAAAAGAGGAAATGATCAGCAATCCAGAACCAATTCATGATTATGGTTCCTATCTCATGCAGCAGGCTGTGGATTGGAAGCGGGAGCAGTGCACATAGGTAGCTGTAACTATGTAACTTACTGGTAATGTTCTTTGGTTAGAGATGAGGTAAAAGGAGTTCACTATAAATTTATATTAGAAAAAAGGGCTGTGCTCGCTTCGGCAGCACATATACTAAAATTGGAACGATACAGAGAAGATTAGCATGGCCCCTGCGCAAGGATGACACGCAAATTCGTGAAGGGTTCCATATTTAAAAAAAAAGAAAAGAAAAAAGGGCTATCTATGGATTAGTTAAAAGAGAGTGTCATGAACCAGCAAATATAATTCATGAACTTAGGCTACCTAAGGTCTAAATAAATAATGAGACAATAGTAAATAAAAGTGATACATGAATACTAAAAATTTGGATATACATATAATATGTAATAATAAAGTGTCACTGGTTATCCTTCAGGTCGAAAAATTACAATTAACATTGTAATATTATAACCTCCCATTCTTTATGAATTAAAACTTTATTTTTATTTATTTTTGAGATGGAGTCTAGTTCTATTGCCCAGGCTGGAGTGCAGCGGCACATTCTCAGCTCACTGAAACCTCTGCCTCCCGGGTTCAAGCGATTCTCTGGCCTCAGACTCCTGAGTAGCTGGGATTACAGGTGCCAGCCACCACACCCAACTATTTTTATATTTTTAGTAGAGACGGGGTTTCACCATGTTGTCCAGGATGGTGTCGGTCGCCTGACTTAGTGATCGGCTGGGATTACAGGCGTCAGCACCGTGCCCGGTTTATTATTATTATTATTTTAATGAAGACAAATCAAGTTGATAAAGTCTATGCCCTGTAGGAACTGGTTAGGTCAGGCTACCCACTCCAGATTTCCAGCAGCCTGGCCTCAGCCCTACTAACAGTCAGTAGCTTATTAAGGCTGCCAGTCCAGAATCGTCCTTTTAGCAATACTGTCCACCCCAGCTTCAGACCCGGCATCTTCTGACCGGCAAAGGGAAGAAGAGGGTAGATGGTTGATGGCTGTCTGCCCCCAGGGTAATAAGTGTTTGCGGTGATCCAAGAGTCTGGTGACGGGCACCTTCATTTCAAGTTCCCCCTTCCTTATCCTGGATTGCAAAGCAATAGAGTTCATTTCTTATTGTGTGGCATAACGTTTCCTAAAATATTGCCTCACAGGAAACTGGCTCTCCTTGATCAGTGGTTGGAGGTTAGGTACAAATTGCGATATTCAGACACAGAACTTTGAAATATGTGGGCGTTTTTTTTTTTTTTTTTTTTTTTTGAGACGTAGTTTCGCTCTTGTTTACCCAGGCTGGAGTGCAATGGCACGATCTCAGCTCACGGCAACCCCCACCTCCTGGGTTCAGGCAATTCTCCTGCCCCAGTCTCCTGAGCGGCTGGGAGTACAGGCACCCGCCAGTATGCCCGGCTAATATTTTGTATTTTTAGTAGAGACGGGGTTTTAGCATGTTGAGCAGGATGGTCTCGATCTCTTGACCTCGTGATCCACCCGCCTCAGCCTCCCAAAGTGCTGGGATTACAGGCATGAGCCACCGCGCCTGGCTTTTTTTTTTTTTCTTTTTCTTTTTTCTTTCAGAGACGGAGTTTCGCACTTCCCAGGCTGGAGTACAATAGCGCGATCTAGGCTCACCGCAGCCTCCGCCTCCTGGGTTCAGACAATTCTCCTGCCTCAGCCTCCTGAGTAGCTGGGATTACAGGCACGCGCCACCATGCCCAGCTAATTTTTTGTATTTTTAGTAGAGACGGGGTTTCACCGTGTTGACCAGGATGGTCTCGATTTCTTTACGTCATGATCCACCGGCCTCGGCCTCCCAAAGTGCTGAGATTACAGGCATGAGCCACCGCGCCCCACTTTTTGTTGGGTTTTTTTTTTTTTTTTTTTTTTTTTTTTTGAGAGGGAGTTTCGCTCTTGTTTACCCAGGCTGGAGTACAATAGCGCCATCTCGGCTCACCGCAACCTCCGCCTCCTGGGTTCAGGCAATTCTGCTGCCTCAGCCTCCTGAGCAGCTGAGATTACAGGCATGCGCCACTATGCCCAGCTAATTTTTTGTATTTTTAGTAGAGACGGAGTTTTAGCATGTTGAACAGGATGGTCTCCATCTCTTTGCCTGGTGATCCACCCGCCTCGGCCTCCCAATGTGTTGGGATTACAGGCGTGAGCCACCGCGCCGGCTTTTTTTTTTTTTTTCAGAGACGGAGTTTCGCTCTTGTTTACCCGGGCTGCCGTGCAATGTCGCGATCTCGGCTCACCGCAACCTACGCCTCCTGGGTTTAGGCAATTCTGCCTCGGCCTCCTGAGCCTCTGGGATTACAGGCACGCGCCACTATGCCCAGCTAATTTTTTGTATTTTTAGTAGAGACGGGGTTTCACCATGTGGACCAGGATGGTCTCGATATCTGGACCTCGTGATCTACCCGCCTCGGCCTCCCAAAGTGCTGGGATTACAGGCGTCAGCACCGTGCCCGGTTTATTATTGTTATTATTATTATTTTTTTAATGAAGACAAATCAAGTTGATAAAGTCTATGCCTTCTAGTAACTGCTTAGGTCAGGCTACACACTCCAGATTTCCAGCAGCCTGGCCTCAGCCCTACCAACAGTCAGTAGCTTACTGAGGCTGCAGGCGCCAGTGGCACCTTCAGACAGGTTCAAGGCTCCCTAAGGACCCTGTGCAGCGTCGCTCAGGTCCACAGAACACGACCAGGGGCTCTCCAGAGCCCACCTCCTAGGGGGCGTGGCTAAGGGACTAGGCGGTTCTCGTTGGGAGCACAGGTAATCTGGGTGGGATCCGGAGGATCTAGCGTCGCGATGTGATGACGTCAGTCCCTGGTCTGGCTTGGTGTGGCGCGTTGGGCGTGCGCCGCTGCGGTTCGGCGTGTAGGTCCCAGCGGTTCAGCTGAGGTAGGGACTTGGTGTAGGCCGGAATGTTACAGGCTGTTGGAGTTGTGGATGAGGAAGAGGATCCTGCGGAGGAGGATTGTCCTGAATTGGTTCCCACTGAGACGAAGCAAAGCGAGGAGGAAAAGTCTGGGCTTGGCGCCAAGATCCCAGTCACAATTATCACCGGGTATTTAGGTAACTAACCATCCCGGTCACAAAATGCCGTGAACTCTCGCGCCCTGGGATTTTGGGGGCTGCCGGTGCCTCTTCTCCTGAGGCACTGGGGCCTCGTGACCAAGAGCAAATTTCTTTGAGGTAGGGGCTGGGTCACTTGCTCCTCGTTTGGGTTTACGTCTCATTTCGGGAGATTCCTTTCAAACAAGACTTTGAACCTCAGACACGCCCCCTAATTATCTCTGTGCGGTCTTACCAAGATATGTTACCATTCTGACGCTCATCTGCTTCATTGAAAATGGAAAAATACCTTTCACCTGTGAAACGGGGCTGGAATCATTGAAGGTTTGCCATTAAAGGACGTCCCGTTTGTAAAATTCCCTACACGAATGGGGCGTTCCTCAGTAGATTTCCCCTTCCCCACGAGCCAGAGTCCTCAAGCCAGTTAGCGGGAAGTGCTCCTATCTCAAACACTTTTTGAGGTGTGTTTGTAAACCACTGCGTAGGAAAGTAAGAATAAAATTTCTGTCCTCCAAGACTATTTCTCAAACTACAAAAGTTTAGGAGTGTACCGGGATACTCGAAACCACAAGTTTGTGCACTTGATAGTTTCGTGAAGGGCGGTTTATGCACTTACACTAGAAGCTTGTTACTGGAAAAGTTTGAGAAACGTATTTTTAAACCTTACAGTTAAATAAAAGGGCTAGAACAAATATATGATTATATTATAAGTGTGGAAAAAGTTAGAAATGTAAATAAAGTGATATTGTTTCAGGGAAATAATATTTCTAGGTGCTGCTAGGAGGAGCTTTTATGTGAAAATAAGAAATCACTGGTGTTTTCTTTCTTTTTATTTTATAGACCGTAAGTTTATTCCCGTTTTTGCTCAGAAGTAATTTTATAAAGGAATCGATTTTTGGCATTTCCCCACTTATTCAGAGGCTGCTCTTCTGGGAAGATGAACAAATTTCTTGTCTAAAACAATGTATTTCAAAGCTGCCCCTCGGGCCTTTCCATGTTGCTCACTGGTAGGTCAGGAGATCATTGGAGAAAATGATCTGAAGCTCAGGAGTGAGGACGGATGCCAGCAACCTTGCTGCCGAATCTAGGGATAGTTTCACTCCTTATCGCTGATCATTTTCCCTTTTTGAAACACTGTCCCGTTGGCTTCTATTACATTTTTCTTTTGATTTTTCCACCTGCTTCTCTGGCTTCATTTGAAGGCTCCCCGCTCCTACCCTCTGTTTATGTTTAGCTACACACCTGTGTAATTTCTGTTTTGATATTCTACAACTTAACATGTCCGAAACTTCTCCGTTACCGTTCCCCCAAATCCTGCTCCTGTGATTCCAACCACTTTGAATACTCTGAAAGCCGCCTAACTAATCTGGAGTCTTGCTGCCCTTTAATTTATTTGTTGCGTGTTAGCCTAAATGATCTTTATAAATGTCAGTCCGATTGTGTCACACCCTTCAGTGGCATCCATATGGGTTAAAGTTCAAATTCCTTAACATGAATTACAAGGACCTGTGGGATCTGGATCTTGCCAACCTTTCCAGCTGGCCAAAATGGCCCTGTACAATGAACTAATGTTACTTCAAAGGTGCCAAGTATTTTAGCCCTTTGGAATATTTACTTTTTTTTACTGTTACTCTTCTGGCTAGATGTCTCTCTTAGGTTCTCCATGGCATTTTGTACAACTATTGAATGTGCCATCCTGTGACATAATTGCCTCCTTATTCACTGAATTCCGCTCCTTCCCTTGATATTTCTAAGCTCCATGAAGGCAGAGACTGTCTTTCTCACTTTTTCAACAAGGCCCAGCATAAATCTGTTGCACAGTAGAAACCTTCAAATGAATGAACTGTCTTAAAGTGTTTTTCTTCATAATATGGTTAAAAAGCCCTAGTAAATCTGTTAGAAGGTTTCTTACATTCACTGTTTCATTTCAGTTTTCACATCACTGCCCTGTGAAACACTCACGTTCAGGGCCTCTGTTTCAGGCTTGGACTGGTTTTAAGATTTTTCTCATTGCCCTGTCTCCTTAAGTCTCTCTCTTCCATTCTATGCTTCACACTCTTGTGATGTTGACCTTCCTAAAGTACTCTAAATATAAGCCTTCATCTCTTAAAAAGTTTTGAAAGGAATATGACATAAAAAGATATTAATATCCTGATACTCCATAAAATCTTCCTAGTTATACACTAGAAAACAACGTATTTCCGAAGATATGTATAACCTACATGTAAAAGTTTTTAGCAGAACTGTAATAGTAAAATACTGGAAACAAATGAAATGTCCAAGAAAAAAGATGAAGAAATGATACAGTCATACAGTTGAACTACAATACTATGCAGTTAGGTTTTCTTTCTTTCCTCTATGAACTTTAGTGTATATGGTTCACAGGACAATAATTTTTCTTCTACGTGAGATTAATATATTAGTTTCGTATGCCACCTGCTGGATAAAGTTGGTACAGTCTTACGAATTTATCTTTACCGAATATTCTGTCCATTGTTGACACTACCTGCCTCTATTCCCCATCATAAAATTTTTATAGATTGTTTAAAGCATACTAAAAGTAGCCCTATAGTCAGCCTGAATTTGTGTCTTGTTAATGTTGAAATAAAAGGTCATTATGTGTAAATTTTAGGAAAGATTAGGTTAAAGAAACTGTGTTTCAACTTGTAAGAGTATTTGTAAATATTTATAAAATATGTCTACATATAGCATTTTGCAATAGGTTTCAAAGGGTGCTTTAATCTTATTCTCTAGGATGTTTATACTATAGTTTAATATGAAAAATAACATGTAAATTCTCAAAAAACATTAGGATTCTTTATATCTTTTGTGTCTTTAAAATTATTTTGAATTTTTTTATTTACAACAAATGTGTTTTATAGGTGCTGGGAAGACAACACTTCTGAACTATATTTTGACGGAGCAACATAGTAAAAGAGCGGTCATTTTAAATGAATTTGGGGAAGGTAAGTAAAATTCAATAAATGTCACATGGCAAGATTTTATGTGACTGTTTATTCCTCTGGTGAATTGATATTCCATATTTAAAAATGAAAATGCAAGATATGGATGTGGATAGGTGTGGAAAAATTAATTTCTGTTAATATTTATATGGGTTGAGATACTGAAATTAGTTTTCATAAAATTTTATTTTGTATAACTTTGGAATTCATATTGACAGAATTAAACTAGATTTTTACATGAAATAAATGACTCCAGAATAAAAATCTAGACATATGAGAAACTTTGTTTAGAAACTAGAAAGGTACTTTTGTATGAACTCTATTACTTATTGCAACTCATGAAAAATATTTAAAAATGCTTCAGTTATGTTTACTTTTTTTAACATTTGTTATTTGCAGTGCAGTTAAAATCAAAGATTTTAAAAATAAGTTAAACGTATGGTCTTTATCCTCATGTAGCTTAAATTATTTGTGAAAATAAGTGTGCTTGACTTCTCAACTCAACTATTAAGCTGTGGTTAAAAAAAATAGTGCTAGACACAATTTTTTGATTACCTTTGTAGAAATTTTTCTTCATAAGTATGAATTGTAGTTAAAGCTCTCTTCTAGCCAAAAACCAGTATCTATTAAACTATTTCTTTTAAAATATACTATTTGTTTCAGTTGTAAAAAGTAAAAGAGCTAGGTTTTATGAACAGGATGGGAAGACTGTTATGTTCGATTTCTGGTTTTAATAAACTAAAGAGAAAAGTGCTTTTTAGGCAAAAATCCTGGGATTTCTAATAACAGTCCTTTTCTTCCCCCAGCATCTTATTAAATAGCCTGTTCCCGATTACATTTATTCTTACTATTTTCTTTCTTTTTTCCTGGATCATTTTCACAATTTTACTTTCACAGCATCCTCAATACTTTCCTTCATGTTTCATTAACATTCTCTATACAGTCTGAATGCTGTAGCAGCCCCTTTAGAAGCTCTTTATTAATACCTAGCTGAAATATGATAAAAAAATATATGTGTAAAGACACTCAATTTTATGGGTGGCTCGTTTGCTTACTGGACTTTTAGAATTCTTCACCATTTGGTATATTTCTTTATTAGAAGAAAAGTAAAACACTTAAAATAATTATTATATATTACAAGCATTTCAAATATAGTTTATTCTTTCTTAAGTGAGTATTGGTAGAAAACTATGTGAACTTGACTAAAAGTTTAATTTTTAAATGAGCACATGATACCCTGGCCAAAAACCTTTCTCCAAATGAACTAGGATTTTTACTCAGTGGGAATATTTAGCAGTTTGTCTAACAGAAACAATTTAGAAGAGGAACGAAGAGAAAAAAGATAGATAAGGCAATCTCTTAAGATGTTGAAAGGCACGTAAAACCCAATATATAAAACATACCAGTCTATCTATAAAGCTTACTCTGGAAAAGAAAAAAATGCCTTCAAGATAGCTACTTTATTAAGAAATGGGGGTGGCCAAGGAAGAGGCCTAAGGAGGAAGTAGGTATGTTTATCAGTGTAGGGTGTGTCTTTTTAGGGGCTTAAGTCATCTTAAAGCTAAAATAATGTAGTATACTGTAATTTAGATATCGAGGCTGCATGAATAAAATGAAAGAATGTTATAAAATGAAGTTTCTGCTTCAAGATCTCCATTATTGAGTTTCCCTCATCTTTGTTTTTTGTTGGCTAATGGACGTAAGGTAAAGAATGCAACAATCTTGCATGTTTTTCACATATACCCCAAAACCTAAAATGCAATTTAAAAAAAAGTCAGATGCAAAAAAAAAAAAAAATGGCTGTTTGTTAATTATTCTAGGAAGTGCGCTGGAGAAATCCTTAGCTGTCAGCCAAGGTGGAGAGCTCTATGAAGAGTGGCTGGAACTTAGAAACGGTTGCCTCTGCTGTTCAGTGAAGTGAGAAATGTGTTTACTATGTACTTGGTTTACTAGAAATGTTTATTGATTGTATTTCCAGTTTTAAGTTTCTTGAGTAATTTAACTGAATTTACAGTTTGCTTCATTGTATTTTCAAACAAATAGAAAATAAACTTATTAGGAAACATTTTCTTAAAGTGTTTCTTACTCTCTTTTCTATCTGCTCTAATGCTTTGGCCCTTTAATTGAGTTTTTAATGCTTTCGATGTCAGGGCTTATTTAATTATTAATCTCTAGTACATGAAAGTCTCATGTAAAAAATGATTATTCTGAATTTAGTACGTCATTGGTCATATTTCCAAGTATTCAACCTTATAAAAACAAATAAATGACTATGTTCCACTAGTTAACTTTCCAAGGATAATGTCTATTTTGTTCACTAGTCTGCCGTAGACCCTAGAAGAGTACCCAACACACAGTAGTACTCAAATGTTTGTTGGATGAATTATAAAAATGGCTACTTATATTCTTAATTTTGTATATTCTAGTGAATTAAATCTCTTCAGCATCATTTACCGCCTTAGGTGTTTGACTTTTTGTCAAATGGATTGGCAAGGACAAAATTATAACAGACTTTCTGGAACAACCAAAATGTAATCTATTAAGTAATCTTCTTCACTTTTGATAAAATAAAAAAAAATGGGAAATTAAAACCTTGTATCCTAATGAAAAAAAGAATTAAATGGTGTTAATACCAGTGTCCCTTTAGCTATTATATTAAACTACTATAGTTAATAAATTTTATCATTATTTTGGATGTTAATTTTTTTTTATTTTATAAAGCTATAAAAATAAGATATTGACTTCGGTCAGATAAAGTTCCCTCTGCTTTTAATTTTAATAAAATTAAAGTATTCTTATGTATATGATTTTTTTTTTTACCTATTAGAGTATATGCATTATTGTTTTCTCACTGGTAAATATGGGACGGACATTTTGTTAGAAGCTTAGAAGCGAGTTAAATTTTCACATTCCTAAGGACACTTTGTCTCTGGTTGTTGAATATATTTTAAAATGTGTATAATAATCACTTCAAAATATTTAGGTAATTTATGTAAATTATTACCTAATGTAAATTATGTTTTGGTATTCTCCAGGGACAATGGCCTGAAAGCTATTGAGAATTTGATGCAGAAGACGGGAAATTTGATTACATACTGTTAGAGACCACTGGATTAGCAGATCCTGGTAAGAAGTGAGATTATTAATAACCAGAATATAGTTCTGTGATATATAGTAAATAGATGTATTAGAGGATGATCTAAAATGAGTATTAAAGCTTTCCTTAGAATTAAAACTTTTTTTGTTTTAAAAGAGGAAGAGTACTCAGTTATCATTTTCTTTGGCAGATGAATGATGTTCAGAATATTTATTGGTATTTTTAAGCTGTTAACAGAATTTGAAGTTTTATTGCTTGATTTAGGATTATTTGTAAGAACGGTAGTTGTTAAAAGTATTGACATGCAGGAAAAGCAGAGATGTTCTACCTCTAAATACAGTTGTTCCTTGGCATCCATGGGGTATTAGGTCCAGGACCTCTGAGGATACCAAAATCTATGAATATTCAAGTCCCTTATATAAAATGATGTAGTATATGCCTATAATCTATGCACATGCTCCCGTATGCTTTAAATTATCTGTGGATTACTTATAATACCTAATACAATATAATTGCTGTGTAAGTAATTATTATACTGCACTGATAAGTGAATCATGACAAGAAAAAAAGTCTGTACATTTTCAGTACAGACACAGTCATCCATATTTTTTCTTTTTGAGACGGAATCTCACTCTGTAGCTAAGGCTGGAGTACAGTGGTGCTATCTCAGCTCACTGCAACCTGCGCCTCCCACGTTCAAGTGATTCTCCTGCCTCAGCCTCCCAAGTACCTGGGATTACAGGTGCTGCCACCATGCCCAGCTAATTTCTCTATTTCTAGTAGAAATGGGGTTTCACCATGTTGGCCAGGCAGGTCTCGAACTCCTGATCTCGTGATCCGCCCCCCTCAGCCTCCTAAAATGCTGGGATTACAGGTGTGAGTCACTGTGCCTGGCCCTTAAGTTTTTCTATTTTTAATCCACAGTTGGTTGAATCTATGGATGTAGAACCAACAGTTATGGAGGGCTGAATGTATATATTTCATTGGTTATATTCCATAGAGATTTTATTTCTGTTTACTGTTCTAACCCAGCTTTCTGAGACAGTCATTAAGAGATATATAAAGGCTTTGGGCTCTAACCCAGCAATACTTCTTCCCTTTAAGTTAATTCTTAGCGTTTTGTTTTTCTACTAATAAAATTGCAATAATTTTATTTGTAAATGTTGTCATTAAGGTAACAAAGAAGACACAGTTAAATCTTCACTGGGCCTTTTTCCCAGTGTGAAGTTAATGATTATCAAGAAAATTTTTACCTCCAAATAGAATTATATCTAAACTCTACTCTAGAAACATTGTTACTTCCTCCATTGAAGTCTGGAATCCCTCAAAATCATCTGTGAGGGTTGGAATCATCTTTCAAACTCCTATTCATGTTGATATTTTGATCTCTCACGAATCACGAATGTTTTTAATGGCATCTAGAATGATGTATCCTATTCAGAAGGTTTTCAGTTTACTTTGCCAGATCCATCAGAGGAATCACTGTCTATGGCAGCTATAGCTTTATGAAATATATTTCTTAAGTAAGACTTGAAAGTCAAAGTTACTCCTTGATCAATGGGCTGCAGAATGGATGTTGTGTTAGCAGGCAGGAAAACAACAATCTCCTTTTACATCTCTATCACAGTTCTTGAAAGGAATCTTTTTCTAAGCAGTAGATCTCAATAATGGGCTTAAACTATGCTGTGAACAGTAAACCATGCTGTAAACAGATGTGCTGTCATCCAGGCTTTATTATTTATAGAAAACAGGCAGAGGGGATTTAGCATTACTTCTTAAGGGCTGTAGGATGGTAAATGATTATTGGCTTCAACTAGAAGTCACCAGCTCCTTTATCCCCTAACAAGAGAATCAGCCTGTCCTTTGAATCTTTGAAGCCAGACACTGACTTCTCTTTAGCTGTGAAAGTCCTAAATGGCATCTTCTTCCAAAAGGAGGTCATTTCATCTCCATTAAAAATCTATTGCTAGGCCTGCACAGTGGCTCACGCCTGTAATCCCACCACTTTTGGAGGCCAAGGGGGGCAGATCATGAGGTCAGGTTATCGAGACCATCCTGGCCATGGTAAAACCCTGTCTCTACTAAAATACAAAAAAATTAGCCGTGTGTGGTGGTGTGTGCTTGTAGTCCCAGCTACTCAGGAGGCTGAGGCAGGGGAATTGCTTGAATCCAGGAGATGGAGGTTGCAGTGAGCTGAGATCATGCCACTGCATTCCAGCTTGGCGAAAGAGCAAGGTTCCGTCTCAAAAAAAAAATATGTTGCTTAGTGTAGGTACTTTCTTTTTTTTTTTGAGATGGAGTTTCGCTCTTGTTACCATCGTTTCACCATGTCGACCAGGATGGTCTCAATCTCTTGACCTCGTGATTCACCTGCCTCGGCCTCCCAAAGTGCTGGGATTACAGGCGTGAGCCACTGCGCCTGGCCTAGTATAGCTACTTTCATGAATGATGTTAGCTACATCTTCTAGGTAACTTGCTGCAGCTTCTGTATCAGCACTTGCTGCTTTACCTTGCACTTTTATGTTATGTAGATGGCTTCTTTCCTTAATCTTGTGAACCAGCCTGTGCTACCTCCCAACATTTCTTCTCCAGCTTCCTCACCTCTCTTATAACCTTCATAGAACTCAAGAGAATAGGGTTGCTCTGAATTAGGGTTTGGCTTAAGGGAACACTGTGGCTTGTTTGATCATCTGTCCTCTCCATATCAGCAATAAGACTGTTCTGTTTTGTTATCATTTGTGTGTTTACTGGAGTAGCCCTTTTAATTTCCTTCAAGCACTTTTCCTTTGCATTCACAACTTGGCTAACTGGCTCAAGTGACCTAGCTTTTGGCCTGTCTTGGCTTTCGACATAACTTCCTCACTAAGTATAATCATTTCTAGCTCTTGATGTAAAGGGAGAAACAGGTGACTATTTTCACTTGAACATTTAGAGGCCGTTCTAGGGTGTTAATTGACCTAATTTCATGTTGATCATATTCTTTATGTTGTCATGGTTCTATCATAATTTTTTTAGTTCTATGTTTTAATAGTTTTGGTGCTCATTACTAGTACTGTTGCTTCTCCATTTCTGAGTTAATCCATCTCCTGATTGAATTTCATTGTCAGGAAATCTTTTCAAGTTATAGGTACTGCTTTCTTTGGGTTCTTACACACTTTATTGATCAAAAATATTTGTCTTCTGTTTTTATGTAACTTGAAGGATTACTTGGCTAGGTATAAAATTTATCAGTCACACATTTTTCCCCCCTCAACTTTGTAAATTTTGTTCCATAATCTCCTAGTGTTTTTTGATTGGCTGGATTTCCTTGTCCATTGTTTTCTTCTATTTTTATCAGGAAGAATTTGTGAGTACTATAGTCTCTGAGTTTCAATGCTTGAGAATGTCTGCCTGTTGCTTTCATTCTTGAAAAACAACTTTGCAGGAGGTAATATTGTTTGGGAATGCTTTCTTTAGAACTTTGTGGTCACTGTTTTATTATTTTGGGACATCTAATGTTACTGTAGAAAAATCTGATTTTTCCCCCGTTCCTCTTTGAAGGTGGCTTGTTTTTTTAATCTAAAATGCATGAAAGGTTTTTTCTTTATTTTTGAAATTCAGTAATGTAAACAAGATATATCTAAGTGCCATTTATAATTGTTTTTTCCTGAATTATAATATGCCCTTAGTTCTTTTAAGAACATTTTTCTTGTTACCATTAATGCTTTTTGTTGGGTCAAATTATTGTTTTCTCTGCTTCATGACACCAGTTTTCCTTATGTTGAATTTTCTTTTTTTTCCATCTGTATTCTAATTGCTTTTATTTGTCTTTTACCTCTACATTTACTGTAATCCTCTGAAATATTTTTTTTTTTTTTTTTTGGTCGATAATTCTGTTGTCTCCAGTGTCTGTTCTGGTTTTGATGTTGTTTTTTTTTTGAGACAGAGTTTCGCTCTTGTTACCCAGGTTGGTGTGCAATGGCGCGATCTTGGCTCATCGCAACCTCCGCCTCCTGGGTTCAGGCAATTCTCCTGCCTCAGCCTCCTGAGTAGCTGGGATTACAGGCACGCGCCACCATGCCCAGCTAATTTTTTGTATCTTTAGTAGAGATGGGGTTTCACCATGTGGACCAGGATGGTCTCGATATCTTGACCTCGTGATCCACCCGCCTCGGCCTCCCTAAGTGCTGGGATTACAGGCTTGAGCCACCGCGCCCGGCCCGGTTTTGATGTTTTAAATGAAATAATTGGTTAAGTCATTGTGTTTATAGGCTCTAAGTTTCTTTAGCACTACAAACTGGATTTTCATCTTACTCTGCTTCTTGCTTTTGAGCTTGTTTTTATAGGGTTGTATTGTTTTTAAGTTCTTTATTATGATGAAGTTGTTGAGAATTTTCTTTAGTTTTTTTTTTTTTGATTATGTATCCTTCCAGAATGGGTTCTTTGCCACTTGTGTGCCCTGTTCATTTCTTTACTTTTTTGTTATTTCTTGCCTTTTATTCTCTGTGTGTGTGTGTTTCTTTTTGCTGGCTGTAATACCTGTGCATACATGTTTCTTTTTGATATGAGAGGCTCAGAGAACTTATATGTGGTGCTGATGGAAAATATTTTTAGTACTGTACTCTTCTTACCCAAGTTTGTTTTTCTCCTGAGCTCTAGTTTGAAAGCTGTATATTGTTGGAGTGGAGGGAAAGAGAAGGGAAAAGTGGTGATTCAGAGAGCCAGATGGGCTATTTGGCTTTTGGGCTCTGCTCTCTTGAAGTACCAAGCATTTCCCCCTTGGGTCTGCCCAACTGCTTATGAATAAAAATCCTGTGCCTTGTATGGGGACATTATTCAGCCTCAGACCTCTCATTTCTCTTTGTTCTGAGCCCTAGAATATGACCTGACCTTCTCCTTCCCAAAGCATGGAGATGGTTAAAACTTATTCTTGAAATTTTTTTGTTGACTTTTCCCTGTATTGCTTAGTCATCCCTCAGCTACCTTTTGCCATTTTGGAAGGTATTTGTGATAAGAGTTTAGGATTTTGCAGACTATTTCCCTACAACCTCTTATTGGAGGTAGGGGTAGAGTTGGGAATGACCATAAATCACATAGAACTTTGTTTCTTATTTAGACTGTCAGTCTTCAAAATTTATGACAGGCCCTTTTATATTTGGTTGCTGTTAATAAAATTTTGGCTTGTTTTATTTTTTATTTTTATTTTTGTTTTTGCTTTATTGGGGTTTGAAGAAGGGAGATTCTATAATCTAGCTCAGGTTTTCTCAATGTCAGCGCAGATAATATTTTGGGTTGGGTAATTATCTGTTGTGAGGGGGTTGCCCTGTGCATTGTAGGATATTTAACGACATCCCTGACTTCTACATACTAGACGCCAGTAGCATTCCCCTAGTTCAGACAACCAAAAATATCTTCAGACATTGCCAAATATTTCCCAGGGAGAAAAGCAACCTGGTTTGAGAGTCACTGATTAACTTTGTTCACTCATCTTTACTCTTCCTCCTAAATAGCTACCTCCAAATTTTAATTAGATCTTTCTCGTGTAGTCTGGCAAGTATTATATCAAAGACAAATATCAGTTTTAGAATAAAGCTTTAATATACTCTTACATTTCAACTTAAGAGGCAAATATTGATAGTAGGATTTATAAGCTATTTACTGGAACAAAAATCAATGAATTTTTAAAAATTACAAAATGATTTATGTATGTTAGATATTTTACTGAGTGAAAAAATTAATGCTTTTTAAAATGACTTATTGTTTGGAGTAGTGATACAGTAGATTTAATTTTCTCCCTCATTAATTAAAATCATGTTTTAGCCAAGAAAGTGAACAAAATTCTTATTGACAATTCAGTTGTTTCCCGTTTTGGAGACTGACACTCTCCAGTTCTAAGCTAAATAATTGTCATGGTAAAGTAATTTCCTTGAAAAGGACGGACATTGATTCAGCCACTGTTACTCACAAATCCTATTTCAGTCAAATTGGAAAACTATTAAGTTTTTGGGAAAAAATCAATAGATATCAGGAAACCATTAGATTTTGTGGCCCTTGCTATATCTTGCATGAGTAATCACTGTAAACAGCTGACAGGTATTTCATTGTTGACACAGAGTGATGCTTGGGGGACCACATCTTGTCAGAATAGGAGGACAGCTTTAGACATTGGAATGAATTTGGTTATCCTTGTTTTTCTCCTATGCTGATTCTTTTAGACAGCGCTGTCACTAACTGGGTCTGTGATGCTTTGAAAAATCAAATATTTTCCTTGCTCTCAGTTTTCTTTTTCTGGTGTTGCAGCATAATAATCAGGGTATGTGGTTTGATATTTAACCAGTTTCTGTCAAAAACAAGTTTTAATTTATTATTTAGGCATAATTTTTCCTCAGACCCAGGTTTTATACAGTACTAAATAGTGTGAGAAATAATTAGTAATGCCATAGAGTATATAATTTTACTTCTAGTTCTATACATATTCCAAGTAAATTTTTTTTGGACAAGTGATTTGGAATTATTGATGTTTTGTTTTCCTTTTCCTTTAGAGTGATAATTCACTGTTTATGACCTGAATGGTTATCATATTAAGGAGATGAGCAAATAAAAATAAGTCTGATGTGCATAAAGCCATACTGCTCAAATTGTTTGATAATATCTGCTATTAAATTATTATGGCATTGGTAGAAGAATGATGTCTTGTTTGCATGTGGTAAGAGTTGGTCTTTTTTAAAGGAAATAACAAGAGGGATAGAAATGGGATGGGTATAAATAGTAAAAGGTTCTATCACTGTAATTCTTATAAGAAGATATATGTGTTTACCTGTTAATTTCATCAGGGCAAATTAAAGCATGGATAGAATCATGTTTCTCAGTGTGAAGAAATATTTTTATTTGATGAATATTATATATTTTCAGGTGCAGTGGCTTCTATGTTTTGGGTTGATGCTGAATTAGGGAGTGATATTTATCTTGATGGTAAGTTAAAAAACAATTTTCTCTCTTTTTTTTTAAAGATACAGTCTTGCTCTGTCACCCAGGCTGGAGTGCAGTGGTGTGATCTCAACTCAGTGCAACTTCTGCCTCCCAGGTTCAAGCAATTCTCCTGCCTCAACCTCCCAAGTAGCTGGGACTACCGGCTTACACCATCATTCCCAGATAATTTTTGTATTTTTCTTAGAGACAAGGTCTCCCCATGTTGGCCTGGCTGGTCTCGAAATCCTGACCTCAGGCAATCCATCAGCCTAGGCCTCCCAAAGTGCTAGGATTATAGGCTTGAGCCATTGCACCCAGCCTCTTTTGTTTTTAAGTAAAATCTTTATGGTTAAGCTTATTTTTATTCATTCATATTATAATTTTAATTCCTTGCATTGTTCTTTTTAGACTTTAGTTTAATGATGAAGTCTTTGTTCATGTAGATTGAAAAACCCCAGACAGTGGTGGAAGTGGATGTCAGTCAACTCCCAATTTAGTGCTTCCACTAAGGTTTTCCTTAAAAAAAAAAAACTGCTATGTAGATTTTCTGTTTCCTCTGTTGTTTGATGTATGCACTTAATATAATGTTAGAGCCTCTTAATCTGCCAGGCAACATGAGGATCATATTTTTGCTCTCGTTTTTCATTTAATACAGGAATTAAACACTCCTCCCTTACTTTATTTACCTTAACACTTTTGGGCAGTAGACTTTATAAGCTTATATACATGATATGCCTTCATTTAAAATATGTTAGGAACTTCCTTAGTTAAGCAGTTATGGTTTCTCCATCCCTCTTTCCCTTTTTCACCTTTTAAAAAACCAGTCTTTTTATTTTTCAAAAGCAAGAGTCATTAAGAATTTTAAGAATCATTAAGAAAATTTTGGAATTACTAAGCCAGGCCCCATCATTGAGCTCTAATATATGTGGCATATAACTGGTTGAATTCCTTAGGCATAAACTCAGTCTATTGTTATCAGCATATATTCAGAGATTACTAAATGAATTGGTAGCTTAGAAACTTAGGCATGTGTTATGAAAAACATTTTTATGAGTTGGATATGGTGAGAGATGTCAGGAATAAGATATCCTAAGATGTCTCATTCTTTAGGCAATAATTTAAATGTTAAGAAATTTTAATGATTTTGATTATGTGAAAATAAACTAGAAATAACTTGTGTATTTGTCACCTTTGACTATGTTATAAAATTTGACTTATATTTTGGATGGTAAGCTTTTTAAGTGACAAATCTTATTTTCTTATTTATTTAATTTTAAAAATTTATTTATTTTATATCTTCTCTAGTGCCTTAAAATAGTGCTAGTTACTCAGTATATATTTGAAATGCATTGACTTGTTTTTAGAATTTAATTAAATGGCAGTACTGGCAAGAGAAAAAAACGGTACTTTTATTGGGTAACATTTGTGAACTGAAATAGATTAGTTTTAATTTTCATTCTCAAGTATGGTTTCATAATATTAATAAACACTCTTTTAAAAAAGGTGATTAAAATGCTTTTTCCTTCATAGGTATCATAACTATTGTGGATTCAAAATATGGATTAAAAGTGAGTCGAAAGATTTCTATGAGTGGCTCACTGTTGAGAGCTGGGAATATGGGGTTGATTGTATAATTTTCTTTACGTTTGTATCTGTAATTTTTTTTTAACAAAAACCTTTTTCAAAAAAATATCCTGAACAATAGATAAAATTTGTGTTTTAATTATTTGTGTTAAATATTTCTTTTCTATTACTCTGAGTTTGATTTGGTGATAAAATTTGGAATTACAATTTGTAATAAGCACATGCGGTCAGGTTAAATTTTGGTATGTCTAACTCTTTACTAGGATTCAACCCCAATATTGTTAAGTTTTTCTGTTTTGTAGAGGAAATCGAGCTTAATAAAGCATCTGAGATCTTATTTTTCTTGTTAAGTTGCTATAAAACACACATTGGAAATGAGTTTTTAAAAAATATTGAAGACCTAGGTGATAAGTCTTCAATATTTAGGTGCAGCAAACCACCATGGCAGACATTTACCTATGTAACAAACCTGCACTTTCTGGACATGTATCCTGGAACTTAAAACTAAAAAAATATGTATTGAAGAAAATCAGGATCTGTACATAGGATTGGTCAGGAGAATCTCTCCATTAAAAGGCATCTTGCATCGCTTCTTGGTCTTTTGGCTAAGATCAAGTGTAAAAGACATCCTGCTATGAATGTTTTTGTTAACTTCAAAGGTCTTTAAATGCATTTAAATGAGGTTTAATTTATAAAACGCATTTAGTAAGAGTCTCATTCTGTCTCCCAGGCTGGAGTCCAGTGGCACCATCTTGGCTCACTGCAACCTCCATTTCCCAGGTTCAAGTGATTCCCCTGTCTCGGCCTCCGGAGTAACTGGGATTACAGGTGCTCACCACTGCGCCCAGCTAATTTTGTATTTTTAGTAGAGATGGGGTTTCACTATGTTGGCCAGCCTTGTCATGAACTCCTGACCTCAAGTGATCCACCTGCCTTGCCTCCCAAAGTGCTGGGATTATAGGTGTCAGCCACCATGACCAGCCTGAAGTTGTTAATTTTTAAGTTTGTTTGTTTTTTTTTTCTAACTCTTTGCTGAAATTGTACTCTAAGGGGATATGCCAGGCTTGTCAAATAGCTACCAATACCTCTTCACTGGGCCTTCTCTCCACCGTGGATAGAGTGCCCTAATTTGAAAAGTTTGGAAGATAATTCCTTTTTTAGAGTTTAAAAATCTCTATTTATGAATTTATGAATATAATTTAAGAATCAAAGAATGATCCCAAATACAGTATTACAGTTTCACTCAGAAAAATTCTGACAACTGTTGGAAATGATATTTCTTGCAAAATTCTTATTGTGGTAGCAAAAAAAACCCCCAAGTTATTTATTTTCAATGTTTATTATAGGCATGTTTAAATCCATCTCTCCATAAATTTGTTACAAAATTTGATATGTGACATAACTGCTAAGACATTTTGGGTTTTTGTTTTTGATAGACTTAAAATGCCATACTGAAATTCAAACGATTTATATATTTTATGATTATAGAAATAATTTTATATGTATAGTTGGGTATGGAGAAAAGTTAAGTAGAATCTATTATCAGCATGATAGAGGCCAAAAAAAAACAAAGCAACATTCTGAATAATGCAAACACAGTAAACATTTAACCTCCTGCCACCTTGATAAAACCTCTTAAATTATTAAATCAATATACCTACACAAAACTGACACACTGTCAGGATAATGGAAACTTTAGATTTTCTAAGTCGGATGCCAGATAAATAACTTTGCCTTGATATAAAGAATTTGCCAACTTGTTCAATTCCTCTGGTTGCAAAGCTTGACCTCAGTAGCTGCTTGTGATTCAGAGAATTCTGAGGCAGTACAAGTAATGACACTTGGATAATGGGCAGCAATTTAAGGGTGTCATGCTTCACAGAGCCAGCCCATCACAAGTAAAGCTGAGAAATGGTACCCTGTGGCCAGCCAGCCAAATCGAAACTGAAGTGGTAATTGATATCATGGGGTATCACTCTAATGGGATTGTCACCCATTGATCTGAAATATTCATTTTTTAATCATAGTCAAAGAATTGGACAACTTAAAATGACAGCTCTCTATTCTCAGGACTTGACACCTAGGGTACTGACATTGTTCTTTTCAGTTCTACAAATGTGACAGCATTTAATGCAATAGAAGCAGTGAGTGAAGTTACCCAGAAAAGGTCAAGTGAGAGGTTTCTTCTTGATTCCTCTGTTATACTGCACAATCTGTTGAAACAATTCAGTCAGAAAACAGTTTGGCTTGGAAAAGGCCAGAACAATAAATAGACTGACATTATGCAATAATTTTTAAAAAACTAAAACAGTGTTATGTCTGTAACCAATCCATCTGAAAGAAATAGTTCCTGCTGCTGCGTTTAAAAAATGACATTAGACATCTTTGACACTGGATTTATTTCCACTCTGGTCAACAGCAGTGTTCTTTCATAGCCAGTGTTTTAAGATAGTTTTTTCTTTTCTTTTTTTCTCTCTTATTGGTCCAGCTTCTTTCTTTATTTCTGCAGAAAAGGATACCCTATAGCCCTTTGTGGAGTTATGCCTACAGTGGTGTTATTTCAGAGAGTTCCTTTGTTTCTCTCCCTAACCACCAGGATTACTGAGGTATAATTGACAAGTAAAAAATTACAATATATTTAAGATATACAATGTGTGAATTATATTATAAAACAATCAAGCTAGTTAACATATCTGTCACCTCACATTGTTACCATTTTTTTGGGAGAGAGTGGTAAGAACAATTAAGATCTATCTCTTAACAGATCTCAAGTATAAGATAGAATTAATTGTAGTCATGGTATTGTAATTAGCTCACCATGATTTATGCATCCTGCATAACTGGGACTTTGTAATCTGTGACCAACATCTCACATCACTCCTCTTTTTCTCCTTTGTTTCTTGTGATGAATTAAATTGGTGTTTTGAACCTTAGCCTTTTGAATATGTTGGATTAATTAGTACCAAAATTTTTTTTGTCTTTTTTTATGTATAAGCAAAAGCCACAGTTCTTAAGCAGGGATAAGAAATACTTTGGACATCTATGTAATATAAAATATTTTGAAAAATATTTTGCAAAAATTTTTTCTTCCTTATACAGTTAGATTAGAATGCCGAAATTTCCATTTTGTTTTATTTTATAAATGAAAGTCATCTGACTTAATGACAAAATGGTGTAAAATGTATTATTGGAGAATGTTCTTTTGAATAGAAGACATTGGTTTTAAAGTTTTTGCAGGGTTTGACTTGGGAAGGTAGGAAGTCACATGAGGGAAACGTAGGGCTAATGTCTAAAGAAAATAAATGTTAGTTTGCACTTATTTTTTTAAATGTTCGTTTGGCTTTCCTATGTGCATATAACAGGACATTTATCTCTTCTGCTATAATTGTACATGATTACATAGAATTTTAATAGAGTTGTAAATATTGGCACGCTTTCATTTGGGGTGATTTTCATTTATTTTTATATTTGACACTTTCTGACTGCCTGGAGGTAGTAAATGTTGATCTACCACCGTTAGTTTTGAGTGAAGAATTCTAATACTTTGGAGAAATAAATGCATTTAAAACATACATTACTGTGTGAAACTACCATTTTATTCGTTACACTTAGGTATGAAAATGCAAAAACAAATCTGTAATTCTTCTGTCACATCATTTTTATGCCTCACAAACTCATAGCCAAATAGTCCCAAATTCATATGTAAAAAAAAAGCTTCCATAAGGGCAATAACACAGTATCTTGAAAAATTTCAGTTTAAAAAAGTTTTCAGTAATATGGGATCATTCAGAGACATATGCCTTGTGAAAAATATATTATTGTTAAGTAGATTTACTACTTAATGGGAAGAGATTTGTTGTTGCATGTTATATGGCATTTTTCATGTAACATCTTTTACGTATCCCTGTCAACAAGTAGGAGGTGTTAACTACAATTCATTCAACAAATATTTGTTGAGCCTGTGTGTCAGGCACTATTCCAAGGTCTGTTAACAGGCTTATTTTCAGGCCAGGCGCGGTGGCTCAAGCTTGTAATCCCAGCACTTTGGGAGGCTGAGGCTGGTGGATCACAAGGTCAAGAGATCGAGACCATCCTGGTCAACATGGTGAAACCCCGTCTCTACTAAAAATACAAAAAATTAGCTGGGCATGGTGGCCTGTGCCTGTAATCCCAGCTGCTCAGGAGGCTGAGGCAGGAGAATTGCCTGAACCCAGGAGGCAGAGGTTGCGGTGAGCCGAGATCACGCCATTGCACTCCAGCCTGGGTAACAAGAGGGAAACTCTGTCTCAAAAAAAAAAAAACCAGGCTTATTTTCTAGAGGCAGAATATATATATATATATAATTATAGGACTTGTTATACCTCAGGCCAAGATGAATTATGGAAAAAATATTAAACTTGGTCTTTTGGCATGAAATGATTTTTGATACAATAATTTCCAAATTCTGTGACTTCCATAATTGTAGAGTGGGTCTGTAGTTGAATTGAACTTGATTGTTCCTGAAGTAGAAGTGAGTATCATTGCCATGATTTTATTTCAGTTTTGTTTTCCTCAAAATAGAATTTGCTAAACTTTTAGAAGGAAAAAATGTTTCCTCTGCAGACCTAACCAAGCATATTAAACTATTACCTACTTGCTCTTAGGTTCCAAACTATTCAGATAATCCTAATGATCATCTCCCTATACTGGCTTGACTCTGATATATGATTATTAACATTTGTGTAACACTGTACACAGACTGATTTTACGTGACATAAAAGGTTTCACAAAGACTTTAAAATTGTGTTCATTTTACTTGTACTAGTGTGTTTTCAATTTAAAAAAATAGCCCCTGTGATTGTATATAAAATATAGTATCCTGTCATGATAAGGGTGTTAGATTTAGTTTCTTCTTTTATAAATGAAAATAGCTACTTCCCATAATTGTTATGAAAGCTAAATAAGAAAATGTAGATAATAATTTATAAAGTTAAATTCAAAGATTTAATAATTTATGAAATTGACTTCAAATATGAAGAGTATTACTACAATCCAGTTGCCTCTAAACCTCAATAGGCAGCTTTTTATTGTGACAGGAAACCTCTATTGAGGTTTGAGGTGATGAGGGTGAAAAATTTAATTTTAGAGAAGAAGCTTGTGGTGTGGCATTGATAACTTTAGGGATGTAAATAGGATTATGGGGAGAAAAAAAAAACCTTCAGAGAGATGAAAAGTACCACATGGGCTCTAAGTCAATGTCAAAATATTTTTTTTGGAGCTAGCCTGACTCTGGAAAGGTCAGTAAAATAAACAGTTGCAACGGAGAGGCTAGATTAGCAAGTATGGGTTTCTAAATGATAAACGGCTTTTAGGCTAGAATCAGGGCTGAATTAGCCCTCCCACCACTTATTTGTTTCGAGGGTGTTCGAAGGGCCTAGAACTGAGTTCACATGGTGCATGATTGTGGTCTGGGGAGTAGGGAAGTATATTAGATTCTAATATGGGGGTAGGCGTGAAGGGAAGTATATTAGATTCTAAGAAAATATATTTTGGTGGTTATCCATTTTTAAAATAAGTAATAATGAGTATTTAGAACAAGAACAGTTTTGTAAGAAGGAAAATGCCTAAAATCTGAACTGTATTCTTCTATGTTTTTATGACATTATGTAAATCAAAGGTGTTTTCCTTTTAAGTGAAAGAAAAGATCAGGAGTATGAAATCCTAAGCCCTTTTCTTCCCCCCATAAAACCCTACAGGTTCAGTGTAGAAAAAAATTGCAAGTGGGGAAGAAAAATGCTTTCAGAGAGAAAAGTTAGTTCTGAATTTGTGTACTTCAGTAACAGTAGTTGAAGTTTTTATTAGATGCAAGAAGATGTCTCTAAAGTAAAATCCTTTGTGTTAACATTCGATTTTGTATTGTATTATAGTAACTTTATTCAAACTTCTTTTTTGTTTAGCATTTAACGGAAGAAAAACCTTATGGCCTTATCAATGAAGCTACTAGGTATTCATATTTAAAGTATATATTGATTGCTGGCTAATTGGAAAGAGAAAAATCACTAAGATGAAAACCAAAAGCAAATTAAGAAATTTTAAAACATAGTCAAGGAAAATTTATTTTCTTTTTTCTCATAGTTGAATTATTGCTATCTATTTGTTATGATTTGTTTGTTATGATCTGTTATGATCTGTTAACTTTTCCTTAAAGTCATTTTTGTTGTAGCATAAAGTAAATGCTGACCACAGAAGTTCTGTAATTTTGAGGAACTCGGGAAATACTAACATTTAAAAATATTTTCTTGTTATACAATTTCTTTGGGATTGAAGATTATAAAAAATAGAAGATGTCTCACTGCCTTTAATAGTAGTTCATTGATTTCAGTGTTTATTGTTACTCAGAAAAATAGAGGAACAAATATGAAAATAGTTTTAATTTGGCATTAAAACATTTTTTGTTTAAACACTTTTATGTTTCTAATTTATTTGTCTTTAGACTTAGAAATATTTAAATTAATTTGCCTGCCCTAAGCATATTCTTACTAATAGGATAAAGGTAAGATAGATGACAGTCTCTAAATATGCTGCTGGGTTTGCAAGTGAGACCCTCTGGGATTTGCTAAAGACTACAAATAAGCAATTTATTCCCAATTATTTTTGAGTATGGTACTCTGTTGTTGTGTAATGCTGCTTAATCACTGCATTTGGTATAGGATTCAAATCAGAATGAACTTAAATATTTTTGTAACTTTTTTCCTTATGAAAATACAGTTATTATAGAAAATATAAATAAGTCTAATAGGAAATAGCAAAATTGAGTGTTATGTATGTACTGTTGAAACCTGCTTTTTCAGTGAACTAAAGTTAATTTAGTTTTGAGAATTTCGTTGTATTCTCTGAGATATGGCATAAGACCCTGAAGAATTGAGGAAAATTGAAAGAATTTCCAGTTTTACTATCCTGTTAATAGAACATGGAGCTTCTGATTATTATCATCTACTTTGTTATCTAGCAGTTAGCATGGGTTCTTTACAGAGATAATATACAGTATATTTATAGTGATAAAGTGGACATTTGTATAATATCCTGGTATGTCCTCTGAAGTATACCTTTTTTTTTTTTTTTTTTTTTTTTTAAAGAAATGTAGTGCTGTTTTGTTACCCAGGCTGGACTTGAACTCCTGGGTTTAATTAAGGTATCCTCCCTCCTTAGCCTCCTAAGTGGCTAGGACTACAGATGTGTTCTACCATGCCCAGCTCTGAAGTATAGTTTTAAAAAAACCCATTTAATATAGTTTTTAGTATGAAGTGAACTTACTCTATTTCTTTGAAAATTATGGTAAATATTAGAAGAAATATTTTAGTACATAAACTTCTTATTTTTACCATATTGGATGTTTGAATTTTGTGCTTTTCTTTTTTTTCTTTTCTTTTTTTTTAATGCTTTTCTTTACAAAGAAAATTTTCAGTTGAAAATCATTCTTTTGATTGTAAACTTTTTGAGACTTATCTTTCTAGCACAAGAATAGCAAGAAAGAGAACTTAGAAAATACTTTTTGAAAGGATAATATGAAATCTGAACTTGTAGAGTGATGAATACAATTCATTCACATTGAAAAATTAGTGGATTAGGAGTAAACTGAATCACTATAGAGCAACTATATAATTCTTAACTGATATGTTGATCTGCATGAGGTGTTTGTATTTTTAATTTGTTAACATTTCTCTTTTGCTGTATTAATCTGCATGAGGCATGTCTATTATTTAAAATTTCTTAACATTTCCTTTTGTTTGCAATTTTAGGCAAGTTGCTTTGGCAGATATAATTCTCATCAATAAAACAGACTTGGTTCCGGAAGAAGATGTAAAGAAGCTAAGAACAACAATTAGGTACAAAATGATAAGTGTGTTAAGTGCCTACAGATCCATATTGTACGACTCAGAATATTTTTTACCATGACAGTTGCCCTATAGAAACTTAAGGTTTAAGGTTGACCTGCTTCAAGAACCATTAGGGAATCACATATGTTATTGTTGGCTAATTGACTGTTATATAAATAGCAGTACATAAAATTAGTCCCCAGAGCTGGCAGAATATATTTCACAGTTAATATACTGATTTTCAGGGTCCTCTCACTCCATCCTTTTCCTGTCTTCTCTTTGACTCTTTCCTAATGTCAGTCTTCCCTAACTCTACCCAGGATGGTTAATTCCCTTTCCCATGGATGCATCCTGCCAGTTCCTGTCTTTACTCATAATACATTCTCACTCTGCCAATCCCTGAAATCTTTCTTGTTTTGTTTTTTTGTTTCTTTTAAAAAACAATTTATTCTATGGAGCCTATTCTATCTCTGTCTCCCCCACTCCTATGTGAAGTCTTTCCCGACTCAGTGGGTCTCACTTCCCTGAACTCTCATTGACGTCATCTTCCTTAACTGGAAACCACACCTTGTCTTTCAGCTTGCTTTAATATCTTCTTTGTCCATAGCCAAGGCTGATCAGCATAGGACAATCAGAATAATATGAATGATGCTCAAATAGATGTTAACAGTCATTTTGCTGACTGTTCTGGAGACTCCCATTCCTTTTGAAAACAAAGATGGATTTTTCAAATGAATTTATAGTTCAGAGACTTTTTGAATTATTTTCTAAGACCTGGACTAATAAAAGCCCTATACAGAGAGACATTTGGTAGCTATTATTATTGGTTATCTTTAATGTATACAATGTTTTGAGCATGATGACTCAAAATTACTATTCTTAGTATTTATAAGTTCTGACATCAAAGTTTAAATCTGTCATCTGAGTTCATATAGTATATATTATAAACTGAATCAATAAAGGTAAGTCTTATTAGGAGATTATTTGTAATGATTAATGATGGTAGAACCTAAAGTGCAACAAAAAAATATAATAAACATAACGAAATACTTAAAAATAAATAAATGAAAGATGGATTAGCAATAAAGAAATTCATATTTTTTCCACATAGTCTTATTTTAATAGCAATTGTCCTTAAACTTTATTATTAAAAAATGTATAATGTCTCCATGTGGAGGGTAGGTATTGTTGCATAGTGTTGAAGACCACGGACCTTGGAATTTGCTTGGGTTCTAATCCTTGGTCTGTTTCTCATTGTGTTCTTAGGGAACCTGTTTACCCTTTTAAAGCCTCCTCTGTAAAAGGAATAATGCTTATCTCATAAGTCTGCTTTCAGTATTACATAAGACTATGTTAGTAAACTTTGCACAGTGCTGACACACAGTAAGTGCTCTGTTAGCTATTATTATGTAGGTTTTTTTCTTAGCTTGCATAGTGAGTTCAAGGTATAGTAAATAAAAAAGGGAAGAAAAAAGATGGATGATAGTTTTGAAAACTGATGAAATTTTGAAAAAACTGATTTTGGAAAGGTGAAAGTGATGAAGATTGCCTTTACATTTTTTGACACTGGTCTTCTAATCTTGTTTCTCTTTTCAAAAATCTTCTGCACCATTGTGATTGCTAAGAACCCAGTCTACTTAGCAAATGTTTTTGGCATAAAAGGAATGATGATTATTACTTGGCTTTTATATCCTTATATAGACTAGCTAAATCTCTGACACTGACAATAACAGTACTAGAAATGAATTTGGAAGAAGCAGTTTAATAAATTACATACTCGTTTGACTTTTACTTGTACTCCCTTTATATCAGACTTGTGACTGACTCAGAATCATATTTGAGGAGTTGAAAAAAGGCAAACATATTTGAGAGGAAATAGCTGTCAGTCTATAGAGTATATTCAAAAAAGAAGATTAAGAGTTTTGTAAAATAGTGAAGAGACTTGCTCAGAATCTTTATATTTGGGAAACCTCATTCATCAGAACAAACTTGAAGAAGTAGCAAGTATCTTGAACAAGTAACAAGTAACCCTAAAGACAATGAATTGATGATAGAGAATTGATGATTGATAATAGACAATGGAAAAGATAAATAGATGAGGTGTACAGTATGTTGAAAAAATATTAACAGGTACATTTTGGTGCCATACAAAAAGAGCCATATTCTATAATATTGAAAGAGGGAGAACAGGCATAAGGAGTAGAGAGCCTAGTTAGGGAACTGAAGAGGTTATTCTATAAAGGAAACTGGGATGTGTGACTTAGAATTACTGTGAATACCAAGGGCAGGCTGGGGGCAAAGCTACTTATAACTAGTTTTTTATTTTTAGTGTATATGTAGCCATTTCTACCAGGTATGCCTGAGGAAGAAAGTGGCCACCATGAAAATTCTGAGTGTCTACTAATTTTTAAGAACTCTAAAATAGCTACTTATGAATGATTTTTTTTCTAAAGTGAAGCATCTTCTTATTAATCACAAAGTAGCCCTTAATTGGGCAGTTGTGCAGATTTTTGCATATATGTTTTCTTGATGGACAAGTGGAATATACATGATTTATGGTTTAAATGAAAATAATAAATTATTTTTTAAAGTAAGTTTTGTTTTTCTGTTTTTAATTTTTTTGTTTGCAGATGTATTTGTGTATGTGTGCTTATTTCCTGTTTTAGAAATAATGTACTTTGTATACTTTTTTAAAAAGTTAATTTTTACTTTTAAACTTTGTCTTCCTCATTTATTATTTATTTCAGATCCATAAATGGACTAGGACAAATCTTAGAAACACAAAGATCAAGGTACTTTTTCAAAGCTATTTCTAATATTATACTAACAACAAATAATTTTAGTTATTATTAATAAACATTAAGTAATTGATAAATATCCTTGATTTTAATATAAGAAAGACGTCAGTGTATTTTAAAAAGAATTGGATCCAGAATGTTGTTTCAAATGATCTCAATAAGTTAATTCGGCATATTTAGCTAGTACATTTGCCTGTCTTTAAGATTACAAAGCCATGATAACACTGTCTTACTGTGTTTTTGCTTAATGAGGAAGAAAAGACTTTCAAACACTTGAGAGGGTAACTCAGTACAGAAATCTGAAAAAGTATATTGAGAAATCTTATCTTAATTGGAAGTATTTAAACGGCTTTAAAAAATTTTTAAAACCTTTCATAGTTGCCAAAAAATGTCATGTAAAAACACAGAGTCTTTACCTTGAAGTTCCTGACAAATTTTTTAATTAAATTTTGATACCCCCCATTTTCTCTAGGTTCTGTTCCTAAAACATCTGTGAAGTGTATTTCTGTAGATTAAACTCTGTTTTCCATTGAGTGCTATCATAATTTCAGAAAATTTCTGTGCAGGGTATTTTGTTAAGCTCATTTTTTTTTTTTTGATGAGAAAGGCTCAGCAGCTGATAAACCCAGCAACAGGCAGCCAGGAGCTCTGAGGCTCACAGCTGGCGTCTGTGCCACCCAGTTCCTACTTGAGAGACTCTTTCTTTGGAAGTACAGCAGAGTCCTTAGTTGAGTGGTTTGTCTGCTATGGCAGAGATTAGAGGTGCTGACAGACTGCCATAAGTGTTAGGCAATAACAGCAGCAGCTGCTTATATGCAAGCGAACAGCTGGGGAATTAATTTGGTATGCATTCTCATGAGCCACTCATCTATCTGCTGGCAGAGGTAGCAGAAGAATGCCCTTAGTGTAAGTCCTCTACAACCATATGCCAAAGGTGCTCCCTGCATTTCAAATTCCATTGTAGAGAGTCTCTGATACTCTCACTCACACCATGAGTCTGCCCTCTTCCTGTTAGTGTTTTACAATTCCTTACTCCTTAACTCTTCTCCTCTTTACAAAATGATACACAGACAACTGCTTAATACTTAAACAAGCTTTTAAAAATCATGCCCATAAATAGCTGTGGTTCTGTCATAGCATTTATTCAGTTCATATTTGTAACATTTTAATTCAGTTTTCTTCTTTTGTTTTCATTTCGGAAATATCCATGTCCTGAATAAAGGTGTCATCTTGATTAGTTTGTTAATGTAACAATATAGTTTGTTTGACATTTCTAACTTTTATTAATTTATTTTTGTTGTTTGTTTTTTGAGACAGAGTCTTGCTCTGTCACCAGGTTGGAGTGCAGTGGAGTGATCTCGGCTCACTGCCACCTCCGCCTCCCGAGTTCAAGCCATCCTTCTGCCTCAGCCTCCTGAGTAGCTGGGACTATAGGCGCGTACCACCATGCCCAGCTAATTTTTTTGTATTTTTAGTAGAGATGGGGTTTCATCATGTTGGCCAGGGTGGTCTCAATCTCTTGACCTCGGTGGTCTCAATCTCTTGACCTCGTGATCCGCCAGCCTTGGCCTCCTAAAGTGCTGGGCTTACAGGCATGAGCCACCATGCCCGGCCTCCAACTTTTATTTCTAACATTTGCTTTATTATAGAACCATAAACATGCAGTGATTGATTTTTGTTCTTTCAAGTGGATGAGTGAGCAAGTGACTAAAACCTTTCTTCTTCTATTTCTTCAGTGTATGGTGCTTGCCAGTGCATCTGAGAATATAGGGACTTTCTGAAATAGTACTTCCTTGTTGTGAGGACTGAAGTTGGATTAGAATCCTTTTCAATGAAGATCAGGTGTCCTGAGTAGAATTCTTACTATTGGGTCCTGAATCTTATATTAAATATTCTCTCAAATTCCTTGAGGCATAGCATCTTGAGCTTACCAGTTTAGAAACTGGAGATTTGGTTAACAAAGTAATAAAAGTCACTCTTTTCTGTCAATTAATTTGCCAAACTGGCTGCTATGCATTTCATAGTATTTTAAGGACTATTTAAGCAATGGATAAGGCAAAAACCCTGCCTTTAAGGAAAGGCAGGGAAAACAGAGAAGCAAACAAGCAAAAAGGCAACATGTTAGATATTAATATTCCTGTAAGAATTTTAAAAGCACAGAGTTCTATAAGAATAGGAAAATAGAGGAATAACTATTCAACTTAATGAAGAGGGAGGAAAATACTGACCAAGAAGGCAGTCACTGATCTGAGTCTTAAAGAATGAATAAGGCTTTTACAGATGGACTAGAGTAGGAACAACTTTCTAGGTGTAAGGGAGATTTTGTATTCCAGAGACCTGTGAATATTTTAGAATGGCTAGAAAACTTGGTATTATATAGCAGAGAAAAAGTGATATGACTGAAGAGATAGAGAACTTACCACAAAGGGTCTTGAATGCCATGATACATAGCTTAGATTTTCTTCTGTAGGCGGCAAGGAATTAGTGGAGGATTTTATTATTAATCATATATTATTAATTAATAATAATAAGTTCACAATAATAAACTTACTATTGGCCAACTCTGTTTTGGTTTTCCTCTATTCAGTCTACTTACATTTCTAAAAATTAAGAAAAAGACTAGAGAAGATTAAAATGGTACATCTTTTAATCTTTTACTCCTACTTCTGAAATCTATATGGTTCACTAGAACTTCCATTTGCTACTAAATCAGCTTGTCTTACCAATAAGGCAATGCTACGCACTATTCCTTTTCCTTAATCACTACTCAATGTGAGCCTCTTTTCTTCACACACTTATAGTAGTTTATTGTCAGCACTTGTCAGCCACACAGTGGTAAAATAATTAAAATTTTTTTAAAAAACAATAAAACAAAATTCTTCACTCATTTAAGGCATATGACTGGAAAACTAACTTCCATGGCAATTTAATTTCCTCCTTTGGAGATAAAACCATCAGAAATCTACAATTTGCATTATAGTTACTGGATACTTGTATTGGCTGGTGCACCCTATTTGTGAGACTCACTGGAGTTTGAAGAGTTGACTACTAGAAAATACCCCTAGAGTAGCAGCTGCAATTCCAGTCCCATCTTGGAGAGCCAAAACCCTCTTTGTTTTCACTCTCTTGTCCTTGATCTTAGGCTACTTAAAGCAGTCTTTAGACTTAGGGAAAATTGAAAGCAATTTTTGTAGGAAAACATTAGTTTAAGAAATTAGGAGAAAAAAACACTTTTGAAGCTTAATCTTTCCCCTTTTTGTTTACTTCATTCTCTTACTTCTTTTTAAAATGCTGGTAATGGTCTCTTTTTTTTTTTTTCTTGGCTATTTTAATGCTTTGGAAATGATCTAATGGTTTTATCTCCAAAGGAGGAAATTAATTTGATGCCATGGAAATTAGTTTTCCAGTCATATGTCCTCAATGAAGACTTTCTTTTTCATGATGGTACTAAATTTGGGGAAAGCTATGGAAACTTCCATCTGGAAGCTTAGACTTTTTCTCTTTATTGAAAATTTGGTGAGAGACTTGGGTATTTTGTTATTTTCTGTAAAAGAGTGTAATTGGCTGTACAGATCTAATATTGATTCTTTTTTAGAAATACAGAAAGAATCTGGGTAAACAGCAGAATTACCTCTGGATGACATGTTTTCTCAAGGACACTGTCACAGTGAAACAGTAGTTTATTTATAAGCTTGTGTTTCCAAACTACATTTGATATTTGCAAAATTGGCATGTGTAAACTTTATTAAGCTTTAAGCTGTTTCCTAAGATGCGGATGACAAACTTGGGGGGGAAACTTTATTATTTTTTTTTGTTTTTTGTTTTTTTTTTCTTTTTTGAGACAGAATCTGACTTTGTCCCCGAGCTGGATTGCTGTGGTATGATTTCAGGTCACTGTAACCTCTGCCTTCTGGGTTCAAGTATTTCTCCTGCTTCAGCCTCCCAGTAGTTGGGATTACAGGTGTGTGCCACCACGCCCAGCTAATTTTTGTATTTTTAGTAGAGATGAGGTTTTGCCGTGTTGGCCAGGCTGGTCTGAAACTCCTGGCCTCAAAGTGATCTGGCCACCTTGGCCTCCAAAGTGCTGGGATTTCAGGCATAAGCCACCATGCCCATCCAACTTCAGTCATTTGTGACCTGTCAATATAAATATGCTCAGTGGTGGTGGGGGTGGGAAGTGAAAAAGGAAATATGTTTAATATTAAGACTTTGGCCTCTTAGTGTAAATTGATATTCAAAAATTTCTTCATGGAACATTTATTTCTTTATTTGATCATTTTTTTCTAATTCCGCACATATAAAATACCCAGAATTTGAGTTGTTGTTACAGTCTATTAACAGGAACTTTGGAGTAATAAGATGGGAATTTGTATGCCATTTGCCAAGACAAGCATTCGTAATCTAACACATTATTGTTGCCACAAGTATGAGTATGTGGTAGACTGTTGAGAATGAATAAAGCAGGCACAGTTGGTCAGTACTAAGATAAAGGAGATGTTTTTTCTTACATGTTATGCATGAAAAAAAAAAAAATTGAATCTGACCAATGAAATTTTTTTTCCTTGTAAGAAAATTTAACAAATGTTTGGCAAGCTCCTGGAATCTAAGTTTGAAATGTAATTATACATTTGTCATTTTCTTTAAACATTCCTTTGCTGTAGGTTTGATTATGGAGAAATCACTGTTCTCCATTATGGGCTTATGTTAAAATTGTAACGCAATCACCAGTCTTTATAAATTTACCTTTATATATTTAACCAAACCTAATGCTAATTGTGATATGTTATTCTCACTTGATTTGAATCATCGCATTCCTAATAAGTTTAATTATCGTTAAATAATTCTCAGAGAAATAATGTCTATTCGGATGGCAGGAATTTTTTTTCTACATGCAGCCCCATTCTGAATGAATGAAATCAAATCACATGAATATCAGGGTCCTAGGGTAACTTAATATTTTATGCATTGGTTATTCGACTCCTCATATTTTTATATTGCATGTTATATAAAAGGAGGGGAAATAAAAGAAATACAAAAATTGCAGAGGTATTTGGAATGTACCCATTTGACTGTTAATTCTGTTTGTCATTTCTTTTGTTTCATCTTTTGAATAATTAGCTGCTTGGAAAAGTTTCTGTTCTTTAGCTGAATTTTTTTTAAGCTATAAAAATGTATTTTAAAAGCTCATAAATGTCAGGATTGAAAAGATAATGGAAAGTTTAAACAAGCTAATTTATTGACATAATAAACAAATAATTTTCAATCTTGATTCAACTGTGATCATCTTATACCATTTGCCCACTTTTATGAATTTTATATATAAAATTTTTTAAGAGAGATTTTTTTCTTGATTAATTGGATATATTTCACAGAATTTCCAACTGCTCACATTAGTTTTCTTTCTTTTAGAGTTGATCTTTCTAATGTGTTAGATCTTCACGCCTTTGATAGTCTCTCTGGAATAAGGTATGTTTTGTATAATTTAGTTATTTTTATTGTTATGTACCCTTTTTTTCCCATAGTTAACAGGAATGATTTGCACAATTGCACCCTTGATTTAAGCTTCCTGCCATTCCTTTGGCATATAAGACCATTCTTAATGAGATATGTTCTTGGAAGTTTTACTAAGTAAGTAATTGTTTGGAAATCATATTGCATTTTCCTATAGAAATTATAGTGTAAGTGATAGTTAACTTCAGAGTCTAATCGTTAACACTTCTACACCAAACACTATGTATAATACTCTTTCTATGAGAAGATACATGAAATACATAGACAATTTTAGTTTAGGGCTCTCACACAGATAACTCTCTTTACGTTAATAATGGATTAGTTCTCTGCCTTCTCCTGTGGGGAATCTTTTTAGTGAGGGAAGGAAGAAAGATTAGTTATTCTTGTGCATCAGTATCTTTTTATTTTTTCATCGTAGTAAGAATATTTAACATGAGATCTATCCTTTTAACATTTTTTTGAGTGTACAATACAGTATTGTTAACTGTAGGCCTAAGGATGTGCGGCAGATCTCTGGGACATTTCAGTCTTGTATAACTGAGGCTTTATACCCATTGAATAGCAGCTTTCTATTTCCCTCTCCCCTTCGCCCCTGGGATCTACCATTCTACACTCTTTCTGTGGGATTGACTATTTTATTCTGACACAAGTGGAATCATGCATTATTTGTCTTTCTGTGACTGGCTTATTTCATGTGGCATAACATCATCAAGGTTCATCCATGTTTTTGCAAATAACAAGGTTTCCTTTTTAAGGCTCAATAATATTCTATTTTCTACATATACCACATTTACTTTATCCATTTTTCTCTTAGTGCACATAACTTGTTCTCGCAGCTTGGTTATTGCAAATGATGCTGTAATGAATATCTCATAAGTCTCATATATGTCCATACTAGATCATGAGAGTGGACATAGGTATTTTGAATTGGTGGGGCAGTTTTGCTTAAGGGTAGGCATGGTGGGTGGCTCTATACTTGAGACTTCTAATTCTCATTCCTATACATATTTCTTTCTTTTTTTTTTTGAGATGGGTTCTCACTTGTCAGCCAGGCTGGAGTACAGCAGCACAAACATGGTTTACTGGAACCTTGACCTCCTGGGCTCAAGTGATCCTTCTGTCTCAGCCTCCCAAGTAGCTGGGACCACAGGCAGGTGTCACCATACCCCACTAATCTTTTAATATTTTTTGTAAGCATGGGGTCTTATTATATTGCCCAGGCTGGTCTCGAATTCCTGGGCTTAAGTGATCCTCCTGCCTCAGCCTCCCAGAGAGCTGGGATTACATGTGTTGGCCACCACACCCAGCCTTATATGTATGTTTCTAATTTGGCCTTAGTCATGCCTTTAAAAATGAATTCTGTTTTCAACTAGGTTTTTTTAACCTTCAGTCTGTAGTATTGTTCACATTTTAAAAATAGTACCTATAGTAACCTGTGAAGTAGGACATGATAGTGTTTTATTGGATCCCTTTTACTTTATTATGTTTTTATTATTTTTTTTGAGACAGAGTCTTGCTCTGTTGCCCAAGCTGGAATGCAGTGGCACAATCTCGGCTCACGGCAACCTCCGCCTCACAGGTTCAAGCAATTCTCCTGCCTCAGCCTTCCAAGTAGCTGGGATTACAGGCACGTGCCACCATGCCCAGCTAATTTTTTATTTTTGTAGGGACAGGCCCGGCCACCCTTTTACTTTAGAGGTTGGAAAACTTATATTCGAGTGTAGTTGTTAAAAAAAAAAAAAAAAAAAAAGACCAGGCGTGGTGGCTTATGCCTATAATCCAGGCACTTTGGGAGGTTGAGGTGGGCAGATCACAAGGCCAGGAGATCAAGACCATCTGGCCAACATGGTGAAATACCATCTCTACTAAAAATACAAAAATTAGCTGGATACGGTGGTGTATTCCTGTAATCCCAGCTACTCAGGAGGCTGAAGCAGGAGAATGGATTTAACCCCGGAGGGAGAGGTTGCAGTGAACTGAGAGATAGTACCACTGCACTCCAGCCTGGTGACAGGGTGAGACTCCATCTCAAAAAAAAAAAAAAATTGATTGAGATTATTTCAGCAACCAGAAGTGTGGGTTAGGCAGGGCAGTTATTTCCTCCTTCTCAGTTTGGAAACTGAAGCTCAGAGAGTAAACTTGTCAGTGACAGTGAATCAAGAAGTTGTCTTCAGTTGAGAGGTATTTATTTCACCTGTAGCTTCTGGTGTTAGAGCAGTATCTTTTTAGACTAGACAAATTATAGTTAAAATTATAAAGGTATTTTCAGGCTACCTCGAAAAAATCAGCATTTTGTTTTTCTAGGTCCAGTTATTAGGAAGGCAGTAAAGTTTGGTATACCTGAATTACATGTGAGTGATTTCTATTTTTCTAAAAATTCTTATAAATTATGTAAGGTAAAAATGACTACTTGTTGTTTTACGGTAAATATAGTTATATCCTTTCAAGCCACTCCTGGACAAAGTTGTGAAATCTCCCTGAGCCTTTTTCCTTTATGTCAGCTTCAGGTATCCAGTATCACTTACACTTGAGAATGATTATATGGAAATCATTCAGAATTATACTAAGTTTTTCCATGTGAAGCTTTTGTTTTACTAATTTTTAAACTACTCTTCCTCCATTAAACTAATATAGCCCTAACCATAAATTTGGTTTGTTCATTTAAAAATGGTCTTTTTTTTCTTCTTAGTTCTGGTTTTACTGGGGAGATAGATTGACTGGGGCTGTCACCTAATTCTGGGAGCTTAAGAGCCTTTGTCCTTTGCTACCCATTTCTGAAATAATCAAGTCTAGCCCATTCTAACTTTTCTCTTAATGATCCTTTTTTTCTTTTACTCCAAGTCTCCAGCACTTCATTTGAGTATCAGTCCTATTTCACTAGTTAGCCATGCTCCCTTTCTCTCATCTTCTGTCTGGATTATAACTGTTTTTTTTATTTGATGCTGTGACAGTTTTAATAGTCACAGATCCTGTGATACATTTAAATATGTTTACAAGGAGAAAAACGAAACAATACTGCATGAAATTTGCCTTTCTTTCTTTCTTTCTTTTTTTTATGGAAGACAGGGTCTGTCTCTGTTGCCCAGACTAGAGTGCAATGGTGTGATCTCAGTGCACTGTAGTCTCTGCCTCCTGGGCTTAAGCCATCTTCCTACCTCAGACTCCTGAGTAGCTGGGACTACAGGCACGCACTACCATACCTGGCTAATTTTTTGTTGCCTGGCTAATTTTTTCTTTTGGTAGTGATGGGGTTTTGCCATGTACCCCAGGCTGGTCTTAAATTCCTGTGCTCAAGTGATCTGCTTACCTCAGCGTCCCAAAGTAATGGGATTACAGGCGTGAGCTACCACACTTGGCCCTTTATTTTTTTATATTTATTTAATTATTTTATTTTGTTGACGTAGAGTCTCAGAGTCTCACTCTGACAGCTGGGTTGGAGTGCAGTAGTGCTATCTCTGCAGTCCTGAACTCCTGGACTCAAGTGATCTTCCCATCTCAGACTCCTGACTATCTGGGACTACAGGGTTGCACCACCATGCCTGGCTAATTTTTTATTTTTTATTTTTTGTGGAGACAAGGTCTTTCTATGTTGCTCAGGCTTGTCTTGAACTCCTGGCCTCAAGTGATCCTTCTACTTCGCCTCTCAAAGTGCTGGAATTACAAGCCTGAGCCACTGAACCCAGCAAAATTTGCCTTTTTAAAACTAATTCATCTCTGTTGGGTCCAAGAGCTTGCAAGTTGGTTGTCATTTAATATGTTAAACACTAAAATATTTTTTAGTTGAAATCTTTATTTTTTCCCTTCACATATTGTATCCTTTAGTGCTTTATTCCAATAATAAGAATTATAGTATCAAATTATTTCCCACCTTGATATTCAGTATATCAATTTTTGTTTTCCTTTCTACTTCTCTCTTTTGCTGTAATTTGCTGTAATACAAGTACTTTCATCAAGGCATCCAGTTTTTTATATCATTCTATATTTTTACTTGGGAGAAATAGGAATGTTGCTAGTTCTATCTTACTGTCAATACCTAAATTACTGTTTTTTATAGAACATAATGGTTTATACACAAAATACACTAAACTGTGTGAGATTTTTACACTTTATCCTTGCAGAGACAAAAATTGTTATAAGATTACAACTTAATGTGCAAAATGAGGATTTCAGATTCATGAGTTTCAGGTTTTGGTAGCATATGCTTATCCACTAGATTAGTCTTTTAAAAATTTGTATGGGCCGGGCGTGGTGGCTCACGCCTGTAATCCCAGCACTTTGGGAGGCCGAGGCAGGTGGATCATGAGGTCAAGAGATCAAGACCATCCACATGGTGAAACCCCATCTCTACTAAAAATACAAAAAATTAGCTGAGCATGGTAGCGTGTGCCTGTAATCCCAGCTACTCAGGAGGCTGAGGCAGGGGAATTGCCTGAACCCAGGAGGCGAAGGTTGCGGTGAGCCGAGATCGCGCCATTGCACTCCAGCCTGGGTAACAAGAGCGAAACTCCGTCTCAAAAAAAAAAAAAAAAAATTTATATGATAGGGAAAAAAATCTAGGACATGAATTCTGAGACTTACTAGGAACTAAACTTAAATGTTCATTGTTAGATTTTTGTTTTTTTGCTGCATATGAAGTTTTAGGCAGTCATTGTTCAACAACGTATGGTAAAAGCATATGATTTTTCAAAATTATTTTCTAAAGTAATCTCATTCTACACTTAAGAGCAGTTATAATGGTTTGGTGACACTCGAAGTAGCTGTTTAATGTGATCTCACCACCATAGAGAAGGCCTTTGCATGACTTTTTGTGTGTGTGCTTAGCTGCTAACCAAGAGAATCTTTTCCTGAGCAACCAGCTGGGAAGGATTTAATTTGACGTTCTCCCTGCTGAGACCCCCCAAAGAGACTCGTTCCCTCCAACAGTTCCTACAGGCTTTTTCTCTTTCCTAAACTTGCTGTTACTAATTTACCCCTCACTGTTCTTCAAGGCAAAATGTCTGCATGGTTTTAAGTGCTTTCCCCCTCCCATCCTGTCCTCATCAGTGTTGAAATGTGCTACAGTTGTTATGGTTGTAATTTGTTATGCCATATTGATCTTGTGCTTTTCATATCAGAACAATGGATTTTTAACATTCTGACTTTTTCTCTCAATTGATAACTGACTATATATAAAATTTATATTTATGGATACTATTTGTTTTTTAATAAGTTCAAGGAAAAACATTGATAAAGGAAAATTTAATTCTTCTAACTTTCTTTAGGTGCCAGCATTATTTTCACATTAGGAAGCAGGAGAAAATTAAGGAACTTTGAGCAATACTAGAATGGTTATATATATATATGTATATAAGATTGTATTAAACCTGATGGAATGGTAAAGAAATTTATTGACATATTTAACCAAACAAAATAGTGTTGTTAAAAGATTAGTTTTTCTTTTTATTGTGTGCATATGTATGTATGTGAATGTGGGTTTTTTTCTTTTAAAGAAATTTTGTAAAAACTTTATTTGCCAGCTTTTCTCTGTTGGAATTTGTGAACATTGTGTAAAATTGGAATTATAGAATAGTTATGGAAAGACCCTTCATTATCCTTGTGTCACTAAATAACGTATAAAGTTAAGTCAGAAGTGTATTGATCTCTGAATTTCTAATCAGTTGTTTTTAGTTTGCAGAAAAAACTTCAGCATATGCCAGGAACACAACCTCACCTTGATCAGGTAAAAAAAAAAAAACCCAAATCCAAAATTCCTAAATTATGTTTTTAAAGGACCTCTTTAACTAAACTGGTTATATTTAGGCCTGCTTTATTATAAACTTTTTCTAAAATGGTATTTTTGAACCGGGTTGATAATTTTTGGAATCTTAAATGCTTTTGATATTGTCTAATCCTACTTCTTAACACATGATAGGAATTCATCAAACCAGATTTGTTTAGAATCTGAGGAAATCATGCTTTCTAGCCTTTCCATTCTGTAGATTAATTAGCATATTGATTAGTTCTGGTAGAGATTACTCTTAAAAGCAGCCTGGGCATTCTATAGGTAGTCTATTTTTAAGTATGTTGAATTGATTAAGGAAAAGTCTGATATAAGCATGGCTTATTTAAGTAAAAACTGAATTTCACCTTCAGGTAGCACTATAAATGTGAATTCCTTAAGATAATTTTCTTGCTCTAAAATTCTAATCCCTCAGGTAAATATCTAAGATGCTACGAACAAATTAAATACACTTTTACTGTGTCTGCATTTCTGTTAAGCATATCATAGATCATAGAGCTTTAGGATAACTTCTTTGTTCCACTTAAAACCCTGAGGGGTGGAGTGGGGGATGTGTAGGTGAGCAGTGTGCCTAGTCTTCCCTCATCAGTCTTGAAGTGATCACTCAGCTTTTGAATTACTATTGGTTGTAATACTGCCAGGATAACAGCAGCTACTTACATTTGTATTCATTTTGGTTCATAATTTATGAGCAGGTTTACTACTACATTTGTGGTACCTTTCCCTGTGAAACTTTTGTTAATAAGATATTTCCTCTTCACTCATCTTTAAAATAAATAAATGAGAGACATACAAGTCCTTGGAAACAGTTTATGGTAAAAAAACAGTTCTTTATGATAGTTGATATCTGTCATAAAGATGAATGTGAAGCACATTGAGCTTCTGGGTGAAGAATATGATGCCAAAAATCACAGGGATTAAAAGATGAAGAAAATACAGTACTCACTTACAGTGAACATTTGTAGTGGCCAGTGTCTACACCCATAGAATCTTGAATGAACCCCTATTGTGGCAGTCATGAGGCCTTGCAGTTTGGTTGAATTGCTTTTGCCTTGCATTAGTCTATAAATTCCTTAAATATAAAATCTTTATAGCTTAGTACAGGGCTTGGTGGATGCTCAGTGAATATTTGTTAAAAGAATGAAAAGCTGTGTGTCTCAAATGGGGTATAAGTCAGAATCCTATGTGGAGATTTAAAAAAAAAAAATTAGATAACTCAGTAGTTCTCACCCCTCAATCTCCAGGATTGGGGCTTGGGTATGTGTATATTAATGTATATTTTTAACATTTTATTGTGCAAGATTTCAAATATATAAAAAAGTAAACAGAATAGTAAGGTAAACACCTTGTATGAATCACCCAGTTTAAATGGCATCAACATTTAGCTAATTTTATTTCACCTATACTCCCATTTCTTTTGCCTGGAGTATTTAAAAGAAAATGTGGGGTTTTTTTCTTCTTTTTTTTTTTAATTTTTATTTTTTATAGAGATGGGGGTTTCACCATGTTGGCCAGGCTGGTCTTGAACTCCTGACCTTGTGATCTGCCCACCTTGGTATCCCAAAGTTCTTGGATTACAGGTGTGAGCCACTGTGCCTGGCCAAAGAAAAGTTTTTTTTAATAGGAAATTTCAAACATGCATAAAAGTAGAATAGTATAATGAGCCTTATGTACCTATTGCTCTTGTTGGAGTGTATTAAAGCAAATTCCAGACATTATGTCATTTTACTACTAAATAGGGCATGGCTAAATTTTTGTAGCCTCTATAGGAAATTCTTGTGCACTTTCCTGCTTTAGATAATATAAACATAGGAAAAATAGTTTTAGGGCTATGGGATTCAGAGGCATGAACTCTTTTGGTTCAGTGGATCAGAGGTGTAGGGGAGGAAATTTATCTTTTCCTTGCCCATCACTAGATTCATGGCTGAGGTCTCTCTAACAGAAGACCAACTAACAAGAGAATAACATACAAATTTGTTTAGTAAGTTTTACTTGACACAGGAGCCTTCGTAAGGAAAGGAAGACCTGAAACAGTGTATGTTTGATGCTAGGTATGATACGGAAAAGGATAGTCATGGAGAAGCATAACTGGACAAAACAGTATGATCTAATAGTAATAAACTGGGAAGAACTTAGCAAGGTCTGTTTGCTCAGATTTTTCTCTGTGATGCTTCATATTCAGAGATAAGGATGTCCTTTTCCTCTGTGTATGGAGAGGGCACCTCTTGAATGAGGGTCTTATGACCCTCAGGGGAAGGTCAGAAAAATCTAGGTTTTATGACCTGCTTCAGTAGGAAAGGTGAGAGCAGCCTTCCTGGTTCTGCCATTTTCTCAAATACTGAGGTGCCATATTTTGGGATAGTACGTCTTGAACCCAATCAAAGGCTTCATGAAAGATAGTTTTTTTGTTTGATTTTGCATACAGTAAAGGATGCAAATGTATGATTTTAGTGTACAATTCTATTTTTTTTCTTTTTGTCTCTCTCTGTTGCCCAGGCTGGAGTGCAGTTGTTCGATCTCGGCTCACTGCGAGTGCCTCCTTCTGCATTCAAGCAATTCTCATGCCTCAGCCTCTTGAGTAACTGGGATTGCAGGCATGCACCACTACACCTGGCTAATTTTTGTAGATAGATATTTTTTAAGTAGAGATGGGTTTTCACCATTTTGGCCAGGCTGGTCTCAAATGCCTGACCTCAGATGATCCACCCACTTCGGCCTCCCAAAGTGCTGGGATTACAGGTGTGAGCCACTGTGCCCTGCCTCAATGTATTTTTGCATATATTTATACCTACATATCTGTCTGTATGCACACTCAAACATATATCCTTCTAACTCCCCACTCAGATCAAGATATAAAAGATATCTAAAATTGTTAAGAGTTCTTTTTTGCCCCTTCCCAGTCAAAGAAGGAGTAAGTGCTATTCTGACTTACATGACAAAAAATAGCCTTGAACTGGTAGGCTTTTATTTTGACAAGAAGAAGTAAGGAAAAGAGCAAGATGGATGTTTAAAAATGTGAAGTGAGAATCTTACCAATGAGTAGGTCTCTGGTACGGAAGTCTTAGTGGAGAGTTCATACTAGAATCCTGGTCCAAGCTATCAGGTTTTAATTTGCTAGACAAAGAAAACTCAAGCTGTGCTATCTAGGAGTGTTATGTAAGCTAGACTGGACTTCAGAGTCGGGAACCAAGCAGGAAGATACTGTGTGATGAGGGCCTGAAACATGCTGGTTACAGTGAGACTAGAAATGCGATAAATCCAGAGCTGTTTCACAGATAGACTTGCCTGAATATCCTGTCTGACGGAGGATGGATCAGAAAGAAAAGAAGTGGTGATGGGAAACAAGCCTAGATTGACTAGAGAAACCTAGAAATAGAAAAATCGGGAAGGCAAAGTGATTCAGATGATAATGCCATATATTCAGTTGTCCCTGGTGGCAGAATATTATAGTACAGATATTATATAGGCAAAGAAGAATAGAGGACTAGAGTGTGAAGGAACAGATTTTGAGTTTAAGCATATTAGTGGGCTTAGTGTTCCAGCTGAAGAAAATGTGAAGAGGTTATTGCATGTTAGGTATTGTTTGGGAAAGAATAGAAAACAGAGAAACCAGTGGGTTAAAGAAGAAACAGATTAAATAAACAAACCCAAGTAAACTGTTACTAAATTTTATTTTAGAGACAATTCCTCATTGTACTTTTAGTTTTCTGAATTATTGCCTCACTTTTCTGTTTCTTTCTGTGTCAGCATACATGGAAAAAGGAGTTAATTTTAGATTCAAAACAAAAACTGGAAAAAAAAAGTCTGAAATGGGTAATACCTAGGACATGGTATATATGTGTCATTAGGAATCTATCCCTGAATTTTTAATGCAGTTATCCATTTTTCATGAATTCTTTGTTTATTCCCTATAAGGAATACCTGGGTTTGGAAAGTGGGAAGGTGGATGTGAGAAAACCCAAGTGACAAATAGTGCTTAGTTTATTTTAGAACCAAGTATGAGTTGTGACCCTTATCTTCTGCACTGGGAATTACAGATTTTTTTCCAGGATTTTTCTAACAATGTACATACATTTAACAATACTTTTGTCTCCCTCTAGCCCCTGGTAACCACCATTTTACTTTCTGATTTGAGGAGTTTGACTATTTTAGATACCTGATATAAGTAGATTCATGCAGTATTTGTCCTTCTGTAACTGGTTTATTTTTCTTAGTGTAATGTCCTCAAGATTCATCCATGTTGTAGCATATGACAGTATTTTTTTAAGGATACATTATATTTGGTTGTATGTATATTGCCACATTTATCCATTCAACTGTCCTGAACATTTAGGTGGTTATTAGTGTCTTGATTATTGTGACAAAATAAGTACTTTTAAAAGTCTCACATTTGCAAGTTCAATTTGACCCTTTTTTTAGTTGACTTAAACTTCTCATGTCAAGCAAGAAAGCACTTTTCTGGTTTTCCTATTACTAGGAACAGTAGAGATTAAATGTCTCATATGTTTTTGGGAGTTCTAGAGCCCCACACATCACCTGTTCCTTCCCATACTACCGTAACTGATGCTCTCTGGAGAGTGCCCCTCCTGGCAGGAGGCCAACCTGCACAAAAATAGTGCATTAAACCAGCAAAGCTAAGACCCCTCATAGAGTCCATTTCACCCTCCTACCACCGCTACTGGAACAGGTGCTGGTATCCTGGCTGAGAGACCCACAGATAGTTCACATCACATGACTGTGTGCATACTAACCCCCAGTACCAGCCCAGAGCCTGGTAGACTTGCTGGGTGGCTAGATCCAGAAGAGAGATAACAATTACTACGCTTAGCTCTCAGGAAGTCACATTTATAGGAAAAGAGGGAGAGTACTACAGAAAGGGAACACCCCATGGGACAAAAGAATCTGAACAACAGCCTTCAGCCCTAGACCTTTCCTCTGACAGAGGCTACCCAAATGAGAAGGAATCAGAAAACCAACCGTGGTAATATGACAAAATAACATTCTTTAACACCTCCAAAAAAATCACACTAGTTCATCAGCAATGGATCCAAACCAAGAAGAAATCCCTGACTTACCTGAAAAAGGATTCACTAGGTTAGTTATTAAGCCAATCAGGGAGGCACCAGAGAAAGGCAAAGCCCAATGTAAGGATATCAAAAAAGGGATACAAGAAATGAAGGGAGAAATAGTCAATGAACTAGATAGCATAAATAAAAACAATCAAAACTTTAGGAAACAATGGACAAATAGAAATCCAAAATGCTCTGGAAAGTCTCAACAATAGAATCAAACAAGTAGAAGAAAGAAATTCAGAGCTTGAAGACAAGGACTTTAAATTAACCCAATCCAACAAAGACAAAGAAGAATATGAAAATATGAACAAAGCCTCCAAGAAATCCAGGATTATGTAAACAACCAAACCTAAGACTAATCAGTGTTCCTGAGGAAGAAGAGGAATCTAAAAGTTTGTAAAACATATTTGGGGGAATAATTGAGGAAAACTTCCCCAGCCTTGCTAGAGACCTAGACATCCAAATACAAGAAGCACAAAGAACAACTGGGAAATTCATCGCAAAAAGATCATTGCGTAGGCACATTGTCATCAGATTATCTAAAGTTAAGATGAAAGAAGGAATCTTAAGAACTGTGAACCAAAAACACCAGGTAACCTATAAAGGAAAAACTCATCAGATTAACAGCAGATTTTTTAGCAGAAACCCTGAAAGCCAGAAGGGATTAGGGCCCTTTCTTTAGCCTCCTCAAGCAAAACCGTTGTCAGCCAAGAATTTTGTATTCAGCAAAACTAAGCTTCATATATGAAGGCAAGATACAGTCTTTCTCAGACAGAGAATTCACCACTACCAAGCCACCAGTATAAGAACTGCTAAAAAGAGCTCTAAATCTTGAAACAAATCCTGCAAACACTTCAAAACAGGACCTCTTTAAAGCATAAATGTCACAGGACCTATAGAACAAAAATACAATTAAAAAAACAAGCAAGGTATATACAGGCAGCAAATAGCATGATGAATGGAATGAAACCTCACATTTCAATACTAACATTCAGTATAAATGGCCTAAATGTTCCACTTAAAAGATGCAGAATTGCAGAGTGGATAAGAATTTGCCAGCCAACTGTCTGTTGTCTTCACCTAACACATAAGGACTCACATAAACTTAAGGTAAAGGGGTGGAATAAGACATTTCATGTAAATGGACACCAAATGTGAGCAGGAGTAGCTATTCTTAGACAGAACAAACCTTAAACTGTAGTTAAAAATGTCAAAGAGGGGCAAGAAATGATAAAAGGCCTTGTCCAAAAGGAAAATATCACAATCCTAAACATACATGCACCTAACATTGGAGCTCCCAAATTTATAAAACAATTATAATAGACCTAAGAAATGAGACAGACAGCAACACAGTCATAGTGAGAGACTTCAGTACTCCACTGACAGCACTAGCCAGGTCATCAAGATAGAAAGTCAACAAAGAAACAATGGATTTAAACTATATCCTGGAACATTAATGGACTTAACAGATATATACAGAAAATTCATAGCCTTAATGGCCTACATCGAAAAGTCGGAAAGAGCACAAACAGATAGTCTAAGGTCACACCTCAAGGATCTAGAGAAACAAGAACAAACCCAGTAGAAGAAAGGAAGTAACCAAGATCAGAGCAGAACTAAATGAAATTGAAACAAACAAAAAATACAAAAGATAAGTGAAACAAAAATCTGGTTTTTTGAAAAGGTAAATAAAATTGATAGACCATTAGCAAGATTAACCAAGAAAAGAAAGAAAATCCAAATAAGCTCAATAAGAAATGAAACAGGAGATATTACAATGGAAACCACAGAAATACAAAAGATCATTCAAGGCTACTATGAACATCTTTGTGTGCATAAACTAGAAAACCTAGAAGAGAGGGATAAATTCCTGGAAAGAAACAACCCTTCTAGCTTAAATCAGGAAGAATTAGCTACCCTGAATAGACCAATAACAAGCAGTTATTGGTAATAACATGAAATAGTAATTTAAAAATTACCAACAAAAAATATCCAGGACTAGATGGATTCACAATAGAATTCTACCAGATATTCAAAGAAGAATCGGTACCAATCCTATAGACGCTATTCCACAAGATAAAGAGGAATCATTCTATGAAGCCAGTATCACCCTAATACCAAAACAAGGAAAGGACATAACCAAAGAAAACTACAGACCAATATCCCTGATGAACATAGATGCTAAAATCCTTAACAAAATACTAGCTAACCTTATCTAACAACATATCAAAAAGATAATCCACCATGATCAAGGGGTTTTATACCACCGATGCAGGGATAGTTTCACATACACATACACATGCACATAGCCAAAGCAAGACTAAGCAAAAAGAACAAATCCGGAGGTATCACATTACCTGATTTCAAACTATACTATAAGGCCATTGTCACCCAAATAGCATGATACTGTTATAAAACTAGGCACATAGACCAGTGCAACACAATAGAGAATCCAAATACTTAACGGCCAACTAATCTTCAACAAAGCAAGCAAAAACATAAAGTGGGGAAAGGACACACTTTTCAACAAATGGTGCTGGGATAATTGGCTAGCCACATGTAGGAGAATGAAACTGGATCCACTCATCTTTCACTGTATATAAAAATCAACTCAAGATAGATTAAAGACTTAAATCTAAGACCTGAACCTATAAAAATTCTAGAAGATAACATTGGAAAAATCCTTCTAGACATTGGCTTAGACAAGGATTTCATGACCAAGAACCCCAAAGCAAATACAGTGAAAACATATAAATAGCTGGGACTTAATTAAACTGAAGAGCTTTTGCATGGCAAAAGAACAGTCAGAAACAGACAACCTGCAAAGTAGGAGAAACTCTTTCACAATCTATACATCTGACAAAGGACAAATATCCAGAATCTAGAATGAATTCAAACAAATCAGCAAGAAAAAAAATCCCTTCAAAAAGTGGGTTAAGAACATGAATAGACAGTTCTTAAAAGAAGATATACAAATGACCAATAAACATATAAAAAATGCTCAACATCACTAATCACTAATAATCAGGGAAATGCAAATCAAAACCACAGTGTGATACCACCTTATTTCTGCAAGAACAGCCATATTCAAAAAATAGTAGATATTGTCGTGGATGCAGTGAACAGGGAACACTTCTACACTGCTGGTGGGAATGTAAACTAGTACAACCACTATGGAAAACAGTGTGGAGATTCCTTAAAGAACTAAAAGTAGAAGTATCATTTGATCCAGCAATCTCACTACTGGTTATCCACCCAGAGGAAAATAAGTCCTATGAAAAAGATACTTGCACACGCATGTTTATAGCAGCACAATTTGCAATTGCAAAAACATGGAACCAACCCGAATGCCCATCAATCAATGAGTAGATAAGGAAACTGTGGTATATGTATACAGTGGAATACTACTCACCCACAAAAAAGGAATGAATGAATGGTATCTGCATTGACCTGGATGAGATTGGGGTCTGTTATTTTAAGTGAGGTAACTCAGGAATGGAAAACCAAACATCGTTATGTTCTCATAAGTGGGAGCTAAGCTATGAGGATGCAAAGGCATAAGACTGACACAATGGACTCTGGGGACTCGGGGAATGGGAAGGGGGTGAGGGATAAAAGACTACAAATTGGGTGCAGTGTATACTGCTCAGGTGATGAGTGCACCAAAATCTCACACATCACCACTAAAGAAGTTAACCAACACAAACATATGAGACATTTATTTATTTAAGCACAAACATACAAGACATTTGTTTATTTATTTCCGTAGGTTATTGGGGAACCTATGATAGTAAATAAATGTTTCATATGTTTGTGCTTAAATTGGTCTTTAATACTTGCCTTTTGGTATTCTCTAAATTTGGATTATAAAATAGTTTTGGTTTTTTGGTATTTTCTATTGTAAGCCTATATGATTATGTAATGGTGAGTAAAATTGTTAGGCCAGATATGTGGTTCTAGGAGATTATGTAAAGCTGTGCTGTAGTATATTCTTTTCTACATTTTTAAAAGTCATTTTGAGCTTGGCTTTTGAGCCTCTATTTCTCAAGATGAGGTTTATGTTTTTATAATGTACTTAGCCCTTGTTTATGTTCTTCTCTGAGTTTGAAATTGTAGTTATATTGGCAAAGGGAGGTTTGGGTTTTAATTATGTAACCTGCTAGAGGAAATGTTAAGCTTCTGTTTCTTTAGGGTAGACAGTGAGACATTTATCAAGATAAGGAAGAAAAATAAATCCTAAAGTTAATATTCTATATATATACAATTTCTTTTGTATATGTTTTTTAAGAGAACAAATTTACTTTGCTTTTGAGTTTTATTCCTGGCTCTGGTTAGCTTATTTTTTTAGCCTTATTTTCCCCAATTTATATGGAAATAGAGATCTTTTTCCCCAGGATTGTTGTAACGAGTAAGTGAAAAGATGAAATGAGGTGACTCAGGCAAAAGTACCTGGCTCCGTGTAGTCATACACTGTATGTGTTACAGTCATTCTTATTGCTGAGAATCCACAAAAGAATGAGTTAAATAATGAGGACCCTTTCATGAGGGTTTTTGACTAAATTTTTTAAAATAGAAGGTAGTATTTTGTGTAAACACTAAACCCATTGATCACTTCTGCAGAATGTAGGAAATAGAGTTGCTAATTCCATAAAAACAGCATATATGTTGAGAAAAATATACCTAATATATATGGCTTAGGCAATGTAAAATTCCATGAATATGTTCCTTTTCATCTTAAAACTTGTGATTTAAAAAAATATGTTGACATTACTATAAAGAATTATTATTGATTATTTCTCTTGATTTACAGAGTATTGTTACAGTCACATTTGAAGTACAAGGAAATGCAAAGGAAGAACAACTTAATGTATTTATTCAGGTAAATGCAATTTTTACTGATTAATGATTTATCAACGGTTTTGTTACATAGTTGTTGCTATTAGCAACGGTTGGTCTTATTAAAATATGTCACTTGATACAGAATCTCCTGTGGGAAAAGACTGTGAGAAACAAGGACAATCACTGCATGGAGGTCATAAGGCTAAAGGTACAGTAGACTTTTAGACAAAGTCCTTTTCCTGGCTGTTATAAAAACTATATTTGGTTTTAAACAGAAACACTGATTTTAGTACAAATAATCTTTGTCTACTTTCATTTTTCTTTATTATTTTCATTGCTGAAAAGGAGCTTTGGAAATCGCTGCATAAGACATGATTTATTTGCACAGCTTCCTTTAGGGTTGCAGATAGAACAACCGATATGCTTTGAAATGTCACCTTCTGCTCTGTATTCCCAGGTACAGAAAAATAATGTTGCAAATCTTGCTGCTGCTGAACATCATGCTTCCTGATGCATTTAGCAGACACTAAACATTTGTCATACTCTAAACAAAGTTACAAAGGACTAGAACTCTTGTTCTGTATTTAGAAACCCACTCATATGACTTGATATTTGGGTATTTATGTCATGAAAGGTGTCTCCTCCAGGAAGCAGTGGTTCTAGGTGTTTGCTTAACCAGTCAGCAGTTGAGTGTCCACTCTTGTGTGTCCACAAAGTTTTTGGTATATTAAAAACATGATTGCAAAGAAATTAATTTCATCCCCATAGGAGCCAGTTTATCAGATAATTTGTTTCTCATTGCTGCAAATCAATACAAAATGAGCTTTTATTCAGATAGCTATAGTAGTTTTTCTTTATTTCATCATTGTCCATTGATTGCAACCTATTTCTAAAACAGATTATTTAATATCACCAAAATCCTTTAACTTCTCAACTTTTCCCACTAACACTGTGAAACACTATATAAAATCTTTAAAATAATCAATAGGATATAATACATTACATATTTTGTTTCAGATTTTGATTGTGATAAATAACAGTGACAGACCATCCTAATATATGTATTCACTTTATCATTAGAAAAAGGGGTTGTTCAAAAAAATCAGTACACAGAAACCTTTTTTGAAAACTGAAAATTTTAAGAAACTTTTTATAATTCACGAATAATTGGAATTAAGTAATTTTCTCAGCTTAAGAGTTTGTATTTTTAAATGGATATAAATAATTAATCCATTAACATTGATGCTCTATTTCTGCTTTTAAGTTTGAGCTGAGGCTGATTAATGTTCAGTCAATTCTTTTTGAGCAGGGTTTGGTGTCAATCAAAGACAAACCACAACAAGTGGTTGTCCAGGGTGTCCATGAGCTCTATGATCTGGAAGAGACTCCAGTGAACTGGAAGGATGACACTGAGAGAACAAATCGATTGGTCCTCATTGGTAAGTAACAAAGGATTAACACTCCTAAAACAAAGTGATAAATATATTTGAAAGGGATATCATGTGCCAATTAAACAGTATCCTCTTTTATAGCTAAGCTTATGGTCAATGTTTCGTCTTTATCATGTTATAACATTCATAAGAACTTGTTAGGCCTTTTGTTCTGTTTCAGTTTTAGAAAAGTGATTAATCTAAGCACCAATGTGGTTTTGATGTACTTAACTAAAAAGTTAAAGATGGAATCACTCAATTACTATTCTTTTTGTAAATTTCTAAACATTATAAAGCTTTAAAGAATTGGAATTGATAGGTGAACTGTGTCATTTTAATAAGCATAATGTAATCACATCATATCTCGTTTTGTTTGCAGGCAGGAATTTAGATAAGGATATCCTTAAACAGCTATTTATAGCTACCGTGACAGAAACAGAAAAGCAGTGGACAACACTTTTCAAAGAAGATCAGGTTTGTACATAACACTCGAAGCATTTCTTATCAAAAGGATTGGAAAATAAAAAGTTTCTACTGGGTATATTTCAAGCATTTATTTATTTATTATGAATGCCAATAACTTTAACATGGTATTTATTTTATAGCATACATAAAATTTAGCAAATCTGTACTGTAAAACATTTGACATTCATACAGTTATATATACTGTCCTCTTTTTTTTTAAGAATGGCATTTCACAAAAATATCTTTTGAAATTGGCTTTGGAGTTTACATATACTGAACATGAAAATTTATAATGATGATAAAACTTTCAACATTGTCATTTTTTTCTTAGAACTTCAGCTGATTGCAGAGGTATAATGATTATATTGTTATTAAATTTTTTTTAAACAAGTAAATGTCACCCATTTTATTACATGAAATTAAAAGATTTGTGGCAAGAGACTTTTAAAAGTGGAAGAAATCTGGGTCAAAGAAATTAAACTATCTCTTATTCTTAATGCTAAGCCTTATTGGTAGTCAGTGTAATAAACTTCGGCCATTTATTCTGTAATGTATTTAGAAGATTTCAATTGTAGAGCTTTTAGTTTTAAGTAGATTTTACTACTGGTATTAAATTCATCTTGGTTTTTGAACTTCTTTAGTTTTCAGTATAAGCTAAAAAGTGATGAAGTACATGACTTTAGCTATAAACTTTAGCTAAGTTACAAAATAACTTTTCATAGTTTAACAATATTTTTCAAAACTTCGTTTTTGTTTTTTTTTTTTTTTTTTTTTCAGAGACAGGGTCATCTTCTGTTGCCCAGGCTAGAGTGCAGTGGCATGATTATAGCTCACTGCAGCATCAACTGCTGGGCTCAAGTAATCCTCCCACCTTGCCTCCCCATTAGCTGGGACTACAGGCACACAGTATCATACCTGGCTAATTTTTTTTAAAAACTTTTGTAGAGATGGGGTCTTTCTGTGTTGCCTAGACTGGCCTCAAACTCCTGGCCTCAAACTATCCTTCCACTATGGCCTCCCAAAATGCTGGGATTACAGGTATGAGCAATGACACCTGGCCATAATCTTGATATAAATTGTTGGTGTGGTGTGTATATAATGGCTCATTTTCTCCTATTTCTATTAGAGGCCACATAACTATACCCAAATTGTAAGAGGAAAGCATAGTTGGAATTTAAGGAGTACTTTTCCAAGCTAATGGTTGGTAAATATCAGAGGTTATTAAAATTGCTTTTGGAATTTTTTCCCCCAGAATTTTAAATAAAGGAGTTACATTTGTGTATTTTAAATGGTTGCAGTGGTTGGAAGCAGAAGGCTAATTGATTAAATTATCTTAGTTTGGGTATTCTTGTTTTCTTTTCGGTCTATCAGTGAGATTGCTAATTCTGATCTTCCTTCCTCTCTATTCTGTAGCTTTTTAATATAACTTATCTGTATACATACAATTGTCTCCTACATACATTCTCTTAATTCATGGTTGAGAGAATACACTTATTTTGTGGCAGCAAATTGCACAATAGAAAGCCAGCTGATTTTCAAGTAAGATCTGGGCTTTAATTCCAGCTTTTCTGCTTCTTAGCTGTGTAATCATGGGCAAAGTGTTATATTTATTCTACCTGAGATTACTTTCCTTACCTATAAAGGGGAAATGATAGTAACACCATTCAAGGATTAAATAGGTTTGTAATGCACCCAGCTCGGCTTCTGGCACATAGCAGAGCCTAGGTAAATGCTTTCTTCGTGCTAACAAGTTAAATTTTTTTGTTGTTTTTTGAAACTGAGTTTCGCTCTTGTCACCCAGGCTGGAGTGCAGTGGCACAATATTGGGTCACTGCAACCTCTGCCTCCCAGGTTCAAGTGATTCTCCTGCCTCAGACTCTCTAGTAGGGATTACAGGTGCCTGCCACCATGCCTTGCTAATTTTTTGTATTTTTAGTAGAGACAGGGTTTTGCCATGTTGGGCAGGCTCTCTCAAACTCCTGACCTCAGGTGATCCACCCGCTTCAGCCTCTCAAAGTGCTGGGATAAATTTGTTTTATAATTAACTGTAGTCACAACAATACTTAATATTCTTTGGCAAACCAGTAAGTGTCTAGAACTGTTGTTCTAGACCATGAAAGAGCTTATAAGTAGTTGTCCTCTTGTAGGAGAAATATTTGATATAATATTAATCTGTGCTCCTGAAAACCTGTATTTATAAACTGATAAATATATTTGTTTTTCCTTTAAAACAGGGGTGTCCAATTTTTTGACTTTCCTGGGCCACACTGGGAGAAGAATAATTGTCTTGGGCTATACATAAAATACACTAACACTAATAATAGCTGATGAGCTAAAAAAAAAAAATCAAAAATATTTCATAATGTTTTAAGAAAGTTTACAAATTTGTATTTGGCCATGTTCAAAGACATCCTGGGCCACATGTGGGACGAAGGATGGATAAACTTGCTTTTAAATGTATTAAATTAATCTTTAAATATTTTTAATTATGTAAGTAGTACATAAATATATTTTTCTTGTAAAAATGATTCCCATCACTTTTTAGGACTAAGCCGAAGTTCTGTTTTTTAAGACATTTCTTTTCACTTTCACATCATGTTTCCCAGAGTGAATTATTTTTCAATGATCAGAGCTGTAGTTCAGGCTGCTGCTTCAGGAAACACAGAAGCTTGCCATAGAGATCTTCAAGGGAAGGTTTTAATTTTTATAATATGTATGTGTTTTAAAACATTTTATTTTTATTTTTATTTTTTTGAGACGGAGTTTCGCTCGTTACCCAGGCTGGAGTGCAATGGCGCGATCTCGGCTCACTGCAACCTCCGCCTCCTGGTTTCAGGCAATTCTGCCTCAGCCTCCTGAGTAGCTGGGATTACAGGCACGCGCCACCATGCCCAGCTAATTTTTTGTATTTTTAGTAGAGACGGGGTTTCACCGTGTTGACCAGGATGGTCTCGATCTCTTGACTTCGTGATCCACCCGCCTCGGCCTCCCAAAGTGCTGGGATTACATGCGTGAGCAACCGCGCCCGGCTAAAACATTTTAAAAATGTATTATAATTCAGTTTCTTTCAAAAACAAAGCAAACTTAACTGTTAGTCTTAGGTCTTTTCATTATAGTACATATAAATCCGTCTTATGATTTACTGAGTGAAAATTTGTAGTTTAGCGTAGAATACATTCATTGTATTAAAACCATTTATTGAGAGCTTCATTTGCCTTCATATTAGTTCTAGGGGTGAATCTGCACACAACAGATAAAGGGCAGCTTCTCATATTGCTTGTATTCTGGTGGAGTGACATAAATAAATGAAAAATAGAAGGTAGCTTTAAGCTGGCTAATAAAAATAAAGATCAACTTTAGATTGAGTGGTCCTGGAAGGCCTCTCTCAGGAGAGGTGACTGTTAAGTTGATAACAGAACTAAAAGAAGTCGTAATTCATACATAGTAGGGGAGGAGGCTGTACGCAGAGGGAGCATACAGGGCAAAGGCCCTTTAGTTGGGCACCAGCATAGTGTGTTGGGAGACCAGGAAGAAGGCAAAGGTGGTGGAGGGTTAGAAAGTGAGGATATGAGATAAAATTGGAGTTATGAGCCGGGCCAGGTTTCTTGCTCCTGGTAGGACAGAGTCAACATTTGGATTATTTTTGATGCCCTGCGAAGTGACTGAGAGATTTTAAGCTGGGGAAGTGATGTGAGCGTGATTGCTGTGGCAGATCAACCAGTTGTTTCTGTTTTTGAAATCTGGAATAGTGCTTCAGTGAACGAATCTTGTGTGTGCCTCTTTGTTCTTAGGTGTGAATGTTTCTCTAGAATAGGTAGGTACATAAAAGTGAAAGCACCAGCTTCTAAAATATGCACATTTAAGATTTTTAATAGATACTGATGAATGGCCATTCCAGGCAACTGAACTTTTAGCCTTCATATAGTAGTGTAGGAAAATCCCTGTTTTTCCAAGCCCAACTAGCACATTTTAACTCTTGCCAATCAGGATCTCACTATTTTATTTTGGTTTTTAAACTGTGATTTTTAATGTTTATATATTTTTAGTGTGCATTGTACTGTTCATTATTCTTATCTTTTTCAAAATGAAGTATTTTCCAATGATCATAGCCATAGTATATTTAACCTATACCTTCAGGAGATTTTGGAACTTAATATAGATATCCTGAAGAGAAGGTTTATTTTTATAATGGAATCATGACAATAATGTGGGCCATTATTTTGCTTGCTATAGAAGACTTGCAGGATATGATGATGATGATGATGATGATGATGATGAAGGTTTCATCCAAAACTTTATGGTTTACTGAGGGATACAAAATAAATTATTAAATCTATGAGCCTTTGCTTCCTTATTCATAAAATGGGGATAACAAATACACATCTCTCTGAATTGTTCCAGCGATCAAATTTAAGGCACCCTGAATACAGAGAGTCTCAACAAATGTGGATTTCCCTTTTCCAGCAAGGCTTGATGTGCAATTCAGTCTTCTGCACACCTTAAAACAAATGGGTCTTTCTGAGGCTTTCACCAGCTGTGAGTGAAAGGAGCAAGAAAATTGGTACTGAGTTTAAGATAGCTGTAGGGAGCGTCAGCACAAGGTGCAGGGGAAGACCAGGTGATTGAAAGCGTCACTTTGGTAAAAGAGCTTGAGGCCTTTCAGTTTTCCCTCTCTCAGCAGCTATCAATAATGTGTGGGTTAGAAAAGACCCTCCAAATAGCTCATTTTCTCTTGTTACTGCTAAGCAGACTTGGCACCCAAGGGCTTTTAATTATCTTACTTTCTTGCTACCCAGAGTTCTTTTTCTGAGTGCTTGCTTCAAACATATATAGTATTTTGATTGTTTAGTCTTCTTACTAGATTTTTCGGTAAAAATTGAGAATAAACAAAAGTATCTTTTTTCCTAGAGTCTATAATCCCTAGATAGTGAATTTTGAAGGCAACTATCAACAAAGTAAAACTAAAAGCATTATTTTAAAGCAATAGTGATCAGTACTTTGTAACATTA